GTTTCTTTAATTTTGTTAATTTTTTTATGAAAATTATCCTTTTTTTTTAGAGATAATTTTTTATTATAAAATTAAAAAAAAAAACTATTATTATCATATTAGTATGTATTGTATTGAATCTAAAAAGGATATTTGATTGATTAAAAACTAAAATATTTCTTAAGAGAATTTTTAATTAATTTTAAAATATTCTAATAACTGAAAAAATTTCAAATTCAATATTTAAAAATCTAAATATAAAATAAATAAATGATTTAATAGAAAAAATATTTCAATAATTTAGAAGAAGTAATTATTTATTTATTTTTTTATGAATATTCTTAAATTTATTTTTATGAATAAAAAAGTTTTTAAACTCTTCACTTTAATTTCATTAGGTTCTCCATATTGCTCTTAGGTATATTTAATTTATTAATATTAATATTAGAATTTTTTTCTATATTAGTTTTCAAGTTACTTACAATATGAGTTTTCTAATACAAATTTTCATCTATAATTAATAGTTCGATCATTCATTTTTATTTACAAAATTTAAAAAAAATAATTTTAATTTAATTTTCACTTATTTTGACCATCAATTAATAAATTAATTACTTATTTTTTATTATTTAATATTTTTTGTTCACTTTTCCTTCTAAGGAATGATATATCATTATTTCAATTTTTAAAAAGTTACAATTAAATTGATGATGAAGCTTTATAAGGCTTATATTCTGCTTTAGCAAATTGCATTAATCTCTCAGATTTGATACTTGATCTTAGGTAAAAACAGTTTGTTTTGGATTGTTATATTTTTTAATATAAAATGAATTAAAACGATATTATTCTTTTAATTAATTAAGCTTGATTTATTTATTTATTTTTTAATTTTGCTAGTGTTTTTTTGTTGTTTCTTTGTTAATTTTACTCATTCAAATAATTTAAAATTATTATTAATGTATTCTTTTCTAATTATTTCATATATTTTCTTCATTTTTTCCTCAAACTAACTAATTAATAATATATTTTTTCTTCAATATTAAAAAAGTGGAAATGAAATTAGTGTAATTGGAGTATCAGAATTAGGTTCTGCTCTAGCTAATTGCACTAATCTCTTAAATTTAACAATAACTCTTGAGTAAAAAACAGTTTATTTATTTATTTTGGGCTGCTATATTATTTAATATAAAAATGAATTTAAAACATTTTTACATTTTTAATTTACTATTAGCTTTTTGTTTGATTTATTTTTTATGTAATTCTGCCTGTTTTTTTTTTATTTCTTTTTTCTTTTTATTTTTCAGCTTTTACTCTGATTATTAATTAATTAATTCATTCATTCCTTAATATTAATTAAATATTTTTCTTTAATATTTAAAAAGTGACAATTAAATTGGTGATGAAGGTGTATAAGGCTTAGTTTATCCTTTAGCAAATTGCACAAATCTCTCAAATTTAATACTTGATCTTAGGTAAAAACAGTTTATTTGTTTTGAATTGTGATATTTTTAAATATAAAAACGAATTTAAAAAAATATAACTCTTTTAATATATTATTAGCTTTTTATTTGATTTATTTTTCTTTATTTTATTCTTTTTGTGTGTTTTTTTCTTTCTTTCTTTCTTTCTTTCTTTCTTTCTTTCTTTCTTTCTTTGATAATCATTTTTTATTCTCAACTTTTGCTTATTTATTAATTAATTTCTTATTATATCATATTTTTTACTTATTTTTTCCTTCTAAATAACTGATTAATTATATATTTTTTCTTCATTACAGTTAAATTGGTGCAATTAATGCATTAGGTTTAAGCTCTGCTTTAGCAAATTACACTAATCTCTCAAATTTGACACTTTACCTTGAGTAAAAATAGTTTATTTATTTGTTTGTTTTTGATTGTGATGTTTTTAAATATAATAATTTATTAGCTTTTTATTTGATTATTTTTCTTTTTTATTCTATTAATGATTTTTTTGTTTGTGACTTAAAATATAATTTTTAATTTAATAATTATGTTTTATTTTTTTTAGTAATTTACACTAATCTATATTAATAGAAGAAACGGAATAAATATATCAAAATAATGGAAAATAAAAAGCAAGTGCCTTAAATTAAAAAGATTAGTTTTCTTTGAAATATATTTCTAATCGTGATAAACAAACAAACGGTGAATAAGGGATAAAAATATTAGAGTCATAGAATATAATATGTTTTATTTTATAATATTTTATAATAAGGTAATTTTAATTTTAATTTTTATAGATTTATTATTTTATTTATATTTATGAAAAAATTAATTAATTTAGCCTTCAATTTTCTCCAAGGAAAATTATATTTATATGTAAAGGAAAATAAAATTAATAATATTTTTTTAGATAAAAAAGCTTAGATAAAATTATTTTTATCATATTATATAATAATTAAATTTATTAATTTAATGCTTTAGAAATTTACAAAAAAAAAGAATAAATAAAAAAATAAATAAAGTATCTATCTTGCATCTAATCAAATCTGGTAGAAATAAATTTAATAAAGTTAGTATTTTATGTTTAAAAATTTTTTATAACAAATTTTAAAACCTTCATTTTTTATTTCTTATATTTAAATATTCTAAAAAATGATATTATTTTTCATGTTTTTTATTGGAGTAGTTACTACCTTTTGTGTATACTATGTGGATTTCAATTAATATTGATCACGTAGCTTATTAAACTTTCAAACAGCTCATTTACTTAATAACCTGTTTTAGAGGAGACTTCGAAGAATAGCATTCCTAAAGACTTTGCAATATGTTTACCCTCTTGATATGAAACTTACCTTTATTATTCTAAATCGCATTTATTTCCAATCAAAGCTAGTAGAGCTACTTTATTTAATTTTTTTTAATTGTAATCTTTACACCATAATTGCGCTCTATCAAAGGAGTATCTATTAGTAATGTCATAAGATATCATAACTATTGAACATTATTTAAAATAATTTTGATATAAAGAATAGATTTTTTCGTTCAAGTGACAATCCCAAAATTAAAATTTAATTTGTTCCTCTGCCTATTAAAAATAAAATCAAACATTTTTATTTAGATTTTGTAGAATAATTAATTTTTACTATCTTAATAGTTTTTGTATAAAATTCAACGCCAATATAATTAGGGTTGTCAATAAACTCTCCTTAAAGATATCTCAAATATAAAGATGACTTTCCTGTATACCCACCTCCTATTTAAGCTACTTTCATAATTTTATACTACTCTGTTTGATGAATCATTGTGAATATTTATTTATTTATCTTATTTTAATTGAATTAAATCTAAGGCTACTTAAAGGTAAATATTTATAAAATTAATGTGATTTTCAAACACTAATTTAAATAATATTATATTTGATAATAAATCATGTTCTTATTAACTACAAATATTTGCTTATTTCATATACTCTGTGTATTTAAATACAAACATAACTAATAATTTAATAAATTTTTAATATTAATTATATCCATAAAAAATTGAATTATTAAATTAATATTTTTATGAATATCAAATTAGCATAATTTTGAAATTTCCCATATTATTCTATTATTATTTGATTATTTATTAAATAAATCATTTTTTAAAAATAATAATTCATGAATTTATAATGTAAAAAACAGAAGAAAAAATACAACCATTTAGTGATGGGAATCGAAAGTTTCGATTTCATCAAAATAAATGGGAAGAGAATAAAAAGTATCCATTAGTTTATATTCTTTCTTAAAATTAATTTTGATGATATAAAAACTTTCGATTCCAACCTCTACAACCATACATATTTCAAGTTTATTTCAATTTTTATGATTTATAAAATAAATTGATTTTATCTTTAAAAAAATCAAACTAAATATTTAAATAAGTTTCATATTTTAATTTAATTTAGTAAATACGATTTAATTTAAAATATATAAATTCTTATTTTACTATTAATTATTGCACACATTTAATTTCATTTTTATAAGAATTAATTAGATATTAATTTAGGAATTTAATAGCTGAAATATCTAAAATAGTATAAGTTAGAATCTATTAAAACCTTGTAGAACTATTTCTAAAATAAGCTAACTTAAAAAACATTAAATTTTAATTTCTTCTTTTCCTTAATAAAAAACATTTAAATTTTTAATTTTAAGAATAATGTTTGTTTGTTTACTCTTTTCAAAAGTTTTTGGTACAATTTAATCCCATAGTAATCAGGATAATCATAGAACTTATCCTAAAAGTATCTTATCAGCAAGGATGACTTTCCTGTTAAGCTATCTCCGAAATGTAATATTTTTATTGATTTAGATTGATTAATCTGATTTTCCATTTTTTTTTGTATAATTTCTTATATCAAAATTGAAAAAAAAAATTTTAATTAAGTGTTTATAAATTAGTTATTGTTAAAAAAATTTATTAAATTCAATCATATGGATGGATATTTATTTATGATATCCTCAGTAATAAATATTTTTATTTTAAAGACAAAAATTAATTAATGATTTTATAAATATAGATTAAAATAAATAATATCCCAGTTAGTTTAATTTGAATAAAATAAAAAATGCTCTATTAATAACAAATATGTCTTTAAAAAAATAAAAATTTAAGCTAAATTCAAAAAAAACAATTTTTATTCTATATATATACGTAATTCCTCATTAATTAAGGCCACACACCTCCAAAAGTTTTTTGAAAAAAAATGGCCATAATCTTTTAAACAATTTTTCAAATTAGTTTTTTTAAATTTATTTTTTATAAGATTATTTAATATATATTTTATATAAATTTATTAAATATTTATATAATATGTTAACTTTTCATTAAATATTTGTTTTTCTAAACCTAAAATTCCATGATTAATTGCTGCAGTTGTAAACTTTTTGTTATTCTTGCTCAAATAATTTGTAAGAGTCCACATAGCTTTCTTGAAATTTTTAAGAATCTTTTGGAATTATTTAAATATAATTTGAAGGGTTTAATTTAGCTAAATAATCTGAAAAATTAGTCCATTGATAGTAATTAACTCCTCCGGTTGAATAAACTGCATAATTATATCTCTCTATATTGTTAAAATAATTCCCAATAGCTTGTATCTTATTTTTGCTTATGAGTTAAGTATAATTATTTATAACCTATTCAGTTGTATACTCTTCCTGTATGTATAGGGTGATATAGATGATTTATTCTGCTCCAGCAAATACTTTTGTGGATACTTATTCTCCTATAAGACTCCAAATTTAATACCAATTATTTTTTACATCTTTTGAATATTCACATTAGTCTGGTTGAGAGAGCTCAGATAAGACAGATGTCATATTTGCTTAGAGATGTTAATTAGCTTCAAGCTGGAAAGCTACTCGTTAGAATGTGTGCTTGATTTTTATTTCAAAGGATCCTTAAACCTTTTATGGCTATATATCAACTTAAATGTCATTAAAATCTTGTTCGTTTGTCATTTTTACCTCCGTAAAATCAGGTACAATTAATCCGTTTAGGAAATCATAAGTTTTTTGTTAATCACAGCAAGATTAAAGAAACTGTCTTTGAGAAAAAGAATTAAAGAGCATTCCGTTTTGGAAGGCAGGATACCCTAGAACAGCTCCAGGGAAAATTTTTTCCTTTTAAGTTAGACAAGGGAGTTAGCATGCGCTTGAGAAAAAGTTATCTACTTCCTTTTGTTTTCTTAAATTAATTTGCCCCAAGCAAAAGCAAACAAAAAATAAAAAAATAATTGTTTTCATATTTTTATTTATTAATTTACCATAAATTAATTATTTAAATTTTTTACATTTTATAAAATGTAATTAATTTTCATTAAATACCTTACTTATCATTTAAAACCTATTTAATCAGAAATAATTGTTTTCCGCAAATTCTTACTCTACATACCTAAATTAGAATAGAAAAGAAATATAAAAACCAAAATATGGAAGTGAGTATTAAATTCTTTTACAAGCTAATTTATTTTTAAAATTTTTTCTTTAATTTTGTTTATCTTGGTTTATAAAAATTGTCCTCATTTCTAGATAATTTTTTGCTATAAAATTTAAATTAAAAAGTATTAAGACCAAGTTAATATGTATTGTATTCAATCTAAAAAAATATTTATTTGATTAGTAACTAAAATATTTATTTAAATATTATTATATGTTATAGCAACTTATTCATTTCATTTAAAACCTATAGTCGGAAATAGCTATTTCCCACAAAGCTATTACTCTATATACCTAAAATAGAATACAAAAAAAAATATAAAAACAAAAATAAGGAAGCGAGTATTCAATTCTTTTATAAGTTAATTTATTTTGAAATATTTTTCTTTAATTTTGTTAATTTGGTTTTGAAAATTATCCTTTTTTTTTAGATAATTTTTTATAAAAAAAAAGCTATTATTATCATATTAGTATGTATTGGATTGAATCTAAAAAAGATATTTCATTGATTAAATACAAAAAGATTTCTTAAATATTATTAAAGGTAATAGAAACTTATTCTATTATTTTATAGTATTTATTTAAAAAAGATGAACTAAAAATTTTATGGCCATATTAATGTAAGAGTGTGAAATAAATAACACAAATGAAAAAATGGCATAAATATTATCTTTGATAAAGCATAGTTTTTATTAATTTAATTTCCTATCAAATTTATTATGAAAGATGTAGCTTTCATTCATTTGTTTTATATCATTTTGATTATATTCATTTGCCAAAAAAAAGTGGCTATGTGTAAGTAAATAATTAGAAAAAGGAAAATTATGTTAACAATTAATAGCTGAACACTTCATAGATAATCCTAATAGTTTAAAAAATGTAAAATATTTTAATAAAAACAAAAGTGATAACAGAATTGGAAATTTATAATATTTTTAAATAGCTTACTTTGATAAAATAAAATTAATTAATTAAATAATATACTTTAAAACATTGTGCTTAATTTTTCTTAATATATTTTTTTCTGTGTTTTATAACAAAAAAAAATAACTTAAATATTGAGTTTATTATTTATATTTTTTTCATATTTAATAATTCTTATATAAATTTGAATAATTTTATTAGAATTCTTTTAATATTTGCTTATCATAATTGTGCTAAGTTTTTTTAAATTTGAAAATTAAAAATATTTTCATAAGAAAATATTATTATAAAAATTCGAATAATTAATATTTTTCTTATTATTTATTATTATTAAACAAAAAAAAACTACTAACTTTCTGATACCTATAAGTAAATCTAATTATTTAAAATATTTTAAAAATGTTAAAATTATAATTTTTATTTAATCTATGTTTATAAATGTTAATTTTCATCATTAATACATCTAATTTATATTTATGAAACAAAAAATTCGTATTTATGTAATTTAATAAGATATAATAAGACACTAGTGATTATTAAAAGTATTAATTGTCTTTGGCAAAAAATGAGGACTGACTTTATTTATAAATATAAAATGGTAATTAATTAATCTATGCATATTTTAAATTAAATTATCCAAAGAAAATAATAAATAAAAAAAAATATTTTACATTGTATTAATCAAATATTATTATATCTATTCATCCTTTTTTCACAAAAATGAATTAAATTTAAAGACAACTAGTCTTTTTGATTTAAGAAGCTTGCTTTCTACTTTGAATGCTTATGATAAAACGTTAAATCTTTTAATAAAAAATAGTGAAAATTATTTAAAAAAATTAAATATAATCATTTTTTAATTAAAAATTTTTTATGTGAATAAATAAAAAAAATAAAAACTAATCAAATAGAAACTAATATTTAAATTAAAAAATATTGCAATTCAAAACAATAAACTATTTTTACTAAAGATTAAGTGTCAAATGTGTGAGATTAGTGTGTTTTACTAAACCAAAACATAAGCTTGATGCGCCTACATCATGAATTGAATTTTATCTTTTTAAATATTGAAGAAAAAAATAAAATTAATTTTTTAGCTAGAAGAAAAAATATGAAATGAATTAATAAATTAATCATAAAAACAACAATTTTAAATGAAAAAATGAATTAAATCAAAATAGAAAGAAAAAGAAAAAACCACAAGTGGAATGAAAAAAACAAAAATAAATCAAATAACAAACTATCAAATAAATTAAAAGAGAGTTATTTTGTTTTAAATTCAATTTTATAACTAAAAATATAACAAACAAACAAACTGTTTTTACCTAAAAGAAAGAGTCAAGTCTGAGAGATTAGAGCATTCTGCTAAAGAAAATCCTAAATTTGATACACCTTAATCACCAATTAGATTTTTACTTTTTAAATATTGAAGAAATAATGTACAATTAGTTAGTTATAAGGAAAAAATGAAGAAATATATAAAATAATAACAAATTAATTCATAATGAAAGCATAAATTTTAAAAGAAAAAATGAGTAAAACTAACAAAGAAAGAAGAAGAAAAAAATGAAAAATTAATCAAATAAAAAGCTAATATATAAATGATAATAGGTAAATTATTTTCATTTCATTTTAATATTAAAAAATATCACAATCCAAAAAAACAAATTGTGTTTACGATAGATTAAGTGCCAATTTTGAGAGATTAGTGCATTTTGCTAAAGAAAAACCTAAACCTGATGCACCATTTGCATTAATCGAATTTTTACTTTTTAAATATTGAAGAAATAATACATAATTAATTAGTTTTAAGGAAAAAATGAAGTAAAAACATATATGAAATAATAAGAAACAAATTAATTAATAATAAAAGTAAAATTTTAAAATGAAAAAATGAGTTAAATTGACAAAAAAAGAAGAAAATAAAACACAAGTAAAATAGAAAAAAATAAATAAATCAAATTAAAAACAATTGCATTTTTTAAATTCATTTTTATATTAAAAAATAAAACAATTCGAAACAAATAATATACCAAAGATCAAGTGTCAAATTTTTGAGATTTTTGCAATTTGCTAAATCAGAACCTAAGCTTAACACAGCTTCCTCACCAATTTAATTTTCACTTTTTAAATATTGAGAAAAAAAGAAAAAATTAATTATTAGCTAGAAGGAAAAAATGAAGAAATAATAAGAAGTTAATTAATCATAAAAGCAAAAATTTAAAATTAAAAAATGAATTAATAAAAAAAAGAATAATAAAATAAATAAATAAATTAAATGAGTTATATTGCTTTAATTTAATTTTTATATTTAAAAAAATCACAATTCAAAATCCAAAAGAAATAAACCATTTTTACTGAAGATCAAGTGTCAAACTTGAGAGATTACTGCAATTTGCTAAACCAAAACCTAATACATCAATTTATTAAATTTCATTGCAGCTTTTAAGATAATGAGGAAAAATAAATAATTGATTTGTTAGTTAGATAGATAGAAAAACTAAGAAAAAATATGAAATAATAAGAAACTAATTAATTAATAATAAAAGCAAAAAGTAAAAATAAAAAAATGGCTTAAAATAATAAAGAAAAAAATACACAACCAAATTAAAAAAATATAAATAAAATAAAAACTTATAAATAAATTAAAGGAGTAATTTAAAAAAAATAATTTTTATTTTAAAAAGTATCACAATCCATCCAAAAAAATAAATTATTTTTACCTAATATTTAATATCAGATTTGAGAGGTTAGTGCAATTTGCTAAAGCAGAACCTTATACATTAATTACATTAATTTAACTGTAACTTTATAAATATTGAAGAAAAAATATATAATTAATTAGTTAGTTAGAAGCAAAAAAATGAAGAAATAATATGATTAATAAGAAATTAATTCATTAATTAAAAGTAAAGGCAAAGTTGAAATTAAAAAAATTAGTATTAACAAAAATAAGAAAATTAAATGAAAAAAAATAATTAAATAAAAAGCTAATAAATTAATTAAAAAGTTAGTTATATATTGTTTTAAATTTTTTTATATTAAAAAATATCATAATCAAAAAAATAAATTCTTTATACCTAATATCTAGTTTCAAATTTGAAAGATTAGTGCAATTTGCTAAAGCAAAAGTTAAAACATCAATAGAAGTAACTTAGTATTCACTTTTTAAATATTGAAAAAATAAATTATATAATTAATAAGGAAAAAGTGAAGAAAAAATATCAAGTAACAAGAAATAAATTAATTCATAATAAAGTAAAGTTGAAAAATGAATTAGCAAAGAAAGAAAAAAAAATGCAAGCAGAATATAACAATAAGAAAAAATAAATCAAATAAAAATACAATAAATAGATTAAAAGATTTAGTTTCAAAAATACAAAATCCAAAATAAATAAATAAATAAATAAATAAACTGTTTTTACCTAAGATAGAGTTCCAAGTTTGAGAGATTAATGCAATTTGCTAAAGCAAAACCTAAGTCTTATGCACCTTAATTTCCAATAAAATTCTATCTTTTTAAATATTAGAGAAAAAATAAATAATTAAAAATTATTTATTTATTTATTTATTTATTTTAAATTATTTTTAAATTTATTTAAATAAATAATATTCCCTATTTTATTATATTTTTATATATTTCCTACACTAAAAATATTTATCAAGAATAGTTATAAATTCATTTTTATATTAAAAAATATCACAATTTAAAATAAATAAACCATTTTACCCAAGATCAAGTACCAAATTTGAGATATTAGTGCATTTCGATAATGAAGAACCTAAGCCTTATACACCAATTTTATCAATATCATTACAACTTTTTAATTATTGAAGAAAAAATATGTAATAAATTAGTTAGTTAAAAATATAAAAAAATAAGAAATGAAAAAATAATAAAAAAACAAAAGTTGAAAATAAAAAAATGAGTTAAATAAGCAAAGAAAGAAGAAAAAAAAGCACAATTAGAATAAAATTTATAAAAAATAATAATAAATAAATAAATTAAAATAATTATATTGTTTAAACATTTTTATTTTAAATCTCAATTAAAAACAAATAAACTGCTTTTACCTAAGAATAAGTGACAAATTTGAGAGATTAGTACAATTTTCTAAGCCAGAACCTAAACCTTATGCACCAATTGTACCAATTAAAGTATTACTTTTTAATATTGTGGATAAAATATATAATTAACTAGCTAACTAGAAGGAAAAAATGAAATAATAAGAAATGAATTTATTAATATTAAAACAAAAAGTTGAAAAAGAAAAAATAAATAAGTTAAATTAACAAAGAAAGAAGAAAAAGAAGAAATATATACAGAATAAAATAAAGAGATAATAAATAAAAAAAGTTTATATTTTTTAAATTAACTTTTTTATTAAATCTCTAAACTAAAAAAACTGTTTTTACTTAAGATTAAGAGTCAAATTTGAGAGATTAGTACAATTTGCTAAACCAGAACCTAAGCTTGATATACCTTAATCGCCTATTTAATTTTTACTTATTAAATATTAAAGAAAAAATATATCATTAATTAGTCAATTAGAAGGAAAAATGATGAAAAAATATGAAACAATCAATAATAATAAAACTAAAAGTTAAAAATGAAAAAATATTAAATTAAGAAAGAGAAAAGAAAAAAAGCACAACCAAAATATAACAAATCATTCATTAAAAATATTATAAATAAATTAAATGAGTTATATCCTTTAAATTAATTTTTTAATTCAATATCTATCGAAAACAAATAAACTGTTATTACCTAAGATTAAGCATCAAATTTGAGAGGTTAGTGCAATATGCTAAACCAGAACCTAAGTGTAATGCTCCTTCAAAACCAATTATATTGCCTCTTTTTAAATATTGAGGAAAAAATAAAATAAATTACTGTATACTCTCTATATTAAGATCCCACCCCCTACTATAAGACCCCCTTTTTTCTAAATGGGAAGGGGGATCTTATTATAGAGAGTTTACTATAGTTAGTTAGAGAGAAAAAATGATGAAAAAATATGAAATGATAAGAAATAAATATATTAATAATTAAAATAAAAGTTTAAAATGAAAATTTGAGTTAAATTAACAAAGAAAGAAGAAGAAAAATTACAAGCAGTATAAAAGAGAATAAAAATTTAATAAAAAGCTAATAAAAAATTAAAAGAATAATATTGTTTTTTTATATTAAAAAATATTAAAATCTAAAACAAATAAACTATTTTTACTCAAGATTAAGTTTTAAATTTGAGAGATTAGAGAAATTTGCTAAAACTGAACTTAAGCCTTATACACCTTGACAGCCAATTTTATTATAACTTTTTAAAAATGAGGAAAAAATATATAATGAATTAGTTAGTTAGTTAGGTAGAAGGAAAAAATGAAGAAATAATATAAAATAATAAGAAATGAATAAATTAATAAAAGAAAAAGTTGAAAATAAAAAAATGAGTAAAATTAACAAAGAAAGAAGAAAAAAAATACAAGCAGAATATAATAAATCAAACAAAAACATTATAACTAAATTCAAAGTGTTAATCTGCTTTAAGTTCATTTTTATATTAATAAATATTACAAACCAAAATAAATAAACTATTTTTACCTTAGATCAAGTGTTAAATTTGAGAGATTAGTGCAGCTTGCTAAAGCAGAACCTAAACCTGATGCACCTTCGTCACCAATTTCATTGCTTTTTTAAATATTGAAGAAAAATATATTTATAATTAGCTAGCAAAAATGAAATAGTGAATAAAAAATATGAAATAATATGAAATTAATTAAATAATAAGAAAAGAAAATGATGAAAATAGAAAAATTTTTTAAATTAAGAAAGTAAGAAGAAGGAAAAATACAATCTAAAAAAATAAAAAATTGATTAAATTCATTTTTATATTAAAAAATATCACAATTCATAACTAATAAACTATTTTTACCAAAGCTTAAGTGTCAAATTTGAGAGATTAGTACAATTTGCTAAACCAAAGCCTAAGCCTGAAATACCAATTACACCAAATTTATTGTAACTTTTTAAATATTAAACAAACAATTTATAATAATAAGTAAGTTGAAAGGAAAAAGTAAAGAAAAAATATGAAATGATAAGAAATTATTTAATTAATAATAAAAGCTATAGTTAAGAATAAAAATTAGTTAAATCAACAAAAAAAAAGGAATAAATACATATAGAAAATTATAAATAGAATAAAAACATAATAAATATATAAAAAGAAATATATTGTTTTAAAAACATTTTTATATTAAAAAAATTTCATAATCAAAAACAAATAAACTGTTATCACTTAAGATCTAGCTCCAAATTGGAAAGATTAGTGCAATTTGCTAAAGCATAACCTAAGCCTGATACACCCTTATCATCAATTTCATTGCAACTTTTTAATTATAGAAGAAAAAATAATAAATAATTAATTTGTTAGTTAGTTAATTAGTTAGTTACTTATAAGGAAAAAAAAAAAATTATGAAATAATAAGAATAAAGTAAAAGTTGAAAATAAAAAAATAGGTTAAATTAAAGAAGAAAGAAGAAAGTAGAATCAAAACAAATAAATTGTTTTTACCTAATACAAAGTGCCAAATTTGAGAGTTTTGTACACTTTGCTAATCCAGAAGCTAATTCTTATGCACCAATTGCACCAATTTTATTGCTACTTTTTAAATATTGAAGAAAAAATAGTTAGTTAAAAGGAAAAAATAAAGAAAAAATATGTATTAATAAGAAATGAAATAATTAATAATAAAAGTAAAAATTAAAAATAAAAAAATGAGTTAAATTAACAAAGAAAGAAGAAAAAAAAGCACAATCAGAATAAAATAAAGATAAAAAATATCACAATACAAATCAAATAAACTATTTTTACACAAGATAAAGTTCCAAATTTGAAAGATTAGTACACTTTGCTAAACCAGAACTTAAGCTTTATGCACCAATTGCACCAATTTTATTGTTACTTTTTAAATATTGAAGAAAAAATAATTAGTTAGTTAGAAGGAAAAAATGAAGAAAAAAATATGAAAAAATAGTAAAGGCAAAAGTTTAAAATAATAAATGAGTTAAATTAACCAAGAAATAGAAAAAAAAACTTAAACAGAACTAAATAAATTAAATAAAGATAATAAATAAATTAAAAGAATTATATTGTATTGAGTTAAATTTTATATTAAAAAATTTCACAATCTAAATCAAATAAACTGTTTTACATAAGATAGAGTTTCAAATTTGAGAGATTAGTGCAATTTTATAAAGCATAACCTAAGCCTTATGCACCTTAATCATCAATTTCCTAGCCACTTTTTAAATTTTGAAGAAAAATATATCCTTAGTTAATTAGAAGCAAAAATAAAGAAATAATATGAAATAATAAGAAATTAATTAATAGAAAGAAAGAAGAAGAAAAAACACAATCAGGAAAAAATAATAAATAAAAAATGATATTAAATTAATTAAAAGAGTTATATTATTTTAAATTAATTTTTGTTTTCAATAATATCTCAATCAAAAATAAATAAAATGTTTTTACTTAAGATAAAGATTCAAATTTGTGAGATTATTGCAATTTGACAAAGCATAACCTAAGCTTATTGAGCCAACTGTATCAATTTCCCTTCGACTTTTTAAATATTGATGAAATAATATAAAATCATTTGTTAAAAAAAGGAAAAAAAAAATGTAGAAAAAATATCAAAAAATATTTTTAAAAAAAAGTGAAAATGAATGGATGAATGAATTACTATAGATGAGAATATCTATTAGAAAAATAATATTGTTATTAGCTTGGAAATTAAATATAAATAAATATTTTTAACAATAACATTAAGAAACTAAATTTACCTTAGAGTAATATGGAGAACCTAATGAAATTAAAGCTAAGAGTTTAAAAACTTTTATTTTAATAAAAGTAAATTTTAAGAATTTTGATAAAAAAATAAATAATTACATCTTCTAGATTTTAAAACTATTTTATATTTTATATCATTTATTTTTTTCTTTCAAATATTTAATTCCAATTTATAGAAATTTAATTAATTGTAAGTATATTAAATAAATAAGTTACATTTGTTTCAAATTAATTTGGATAAAAAGAAAACAAATAAATAAATAAATCAATAAATAAATACACTCACTAATTTTTTTGTGGTATCTCGTCCTAAAAGAAAATTTATAAATAACTTTTTAATTTAAAAGGCATATTTAAAAATAATTACAATAGGAAATAGAGATAGGTATATATCATATGTTGAAAAAATTCAAGTTATTAAAGTACTTAAATTTTAATAAAACAACTTTTATTTAGAAGGTTTTTCAGTGTTAGTACAGTAATGAAGGGAGTGTTTATTTATATTAAAAAATAAATAAATTATATTTAAGATATTATAAAATTTATAATATCTCAAATTATTCTCAAATACCACTAGTTTTATTTTTCAAGCAGACTTAATTTAGGTTTAAGTCGTGTGCATCTAATAAGCTTATTTATATAGAGTCTGTAAAAGCGATTAGTTTCTACTTAATAAACAAAGTGTATTTAATTAATTATTGAATAATATTGTAAGATTAATACATCCTAAAATTTTAGATTAATATTTCATTTTATATTCTTTTAATTTCTAATTTTTATTTAAATCACAAAATTTTTCATTTTTTAATTTTTATTCAAAAACGATACAAATTTATTTTTTACTACTTTCAAATTTTCAATGAAATTAAAAAAATTATTTCTTTTTTTAAAAGTTTTCATTTTATTTTTTCAAAGATATATAGTTTTCTTTGAACTTTAAATAAAGAAAATTTATTTTTAAAACATGCTTCATAAATAAAAAATTTATTAGTTGCTTTAAAAATTCTTAAAAATATTTTGTAAAATTAAAAATAAAAAAATTTAATTCTATTTTAAATTTTAACATAAAAAACATAAAATAAATTAAAATAAAAAAAATAAACAAACTATTAATTTAAAAATAAATTATGAATATTATGATAGATTTCACAATTTGTTAATATATAAATTAAATTAAATTTAATTAAATAAAATAAGAAAAAGAAAAACAACATAAAATTAATTATCAATAAATTTATATTTTATTTATAAATTTATATAAAATAAAATTTAAATTTAAATTATTTATTTTAAATTTAAAAGTAAACAAATAAATATATTAATACAAAATTATATAAAATTTAAAAATAAATTAATTAATTTTTTTTTAATTAAAAAAAACATGTAGCTTCACAGCTACAGAAAAAAATTGCTGCAAATAGCAATAAAGCAGCAGATTAATGAAAGAAAAATGGTAAAGTAAGTCAATTAAATCAACATAATGATGAAATAGAGAACTAACTATAATAATCAGAATCTGCTTTCAAAAATCTAGAGGATTTAATACATTTTAGATGATTAAAGTGATATATAAATTAGCGAATACACAAATAAAAGAGGGTTGCTAGAATTAGGATTTTAAAAAGGTAAATTGCAATTTTATTAAAAAATTTATGAACAAACTAGATAAAAAAAACTAATTTATGCTAAACAGAATGCTTATAGGCCAGCTTATAATAAATTTTATTCAGATGACAACATATTTTACTTAAATGATAAAAGTATTGATATTTGGTTTAGAGATTAATGTGAGAAATAAGTAGAAGTTTAATGGTATAACAATAGATAGTCGATTCATATTTGGGGGCTATCAGTAAAAAAGGGAAATCAGACCTCTATTTCTTTGATGAAAGAGTTAATTCAAAATCCTATATTGAGTGTATAGATGCTTTTAAACCACTGTCAGGCAAAATCTATTACTATGATCCATCCTTATTACTTTGTTCAGCATAATGCTCCTTCACATAAGGCTAAAGACACAGTAGACTACTTTAAAAAAAATAGGAATAAATTCAGTTGATTTTCCTCCAAGCTCTCCTGATTTCAACCTAATAGAGCTGATTTGGGCAAAAATGAAGTCAGTTTATAGAATATTAATATATAAATTAGAAGTCTAAAACAAAGAAAATGCAATCAAGTTAATCAAAGATATTTGGCAGAACGAACTATATATCATAAAAGTTCATAAACGCTTGCATTAATTAATAAATTAGAAGGGTAATTTAAAGTTGATCTTTAAAATAATGGAGGAATATTAATTTCGTGAGTAAATAAGGTTAAAAGGTAAATTTAAATGTTATTTAATTGTATTGATTAAAATATTTTTGTAAAATAATTCATTTCATAATTTAATAGTAAAGGAGTAGAGTTATTTCACATACTATGTCTCAAATTATAATCGCTTATTTAAATAAGATAATTTATTTACTCTATGAGCTAATGTGTTTGTGTGCATTGTAAAAATTATCATAAACTTATTAATTTCTCAAAAAAAAAAATCCTATTAATTGTTTGCAAGAGTACCATCTCAAAAAAAAAAATTCCTTTTTCTTATGTAAAAAAGCTTAAATTTTTAATGTATTTCATGATATTTAGAAAATTATTAAGTTTACTATCTTACATTTTATGATTCCAATTATACGAGTGACACTATATAATGTTTCATTCCTCCTCTTGATTATATTATACTATGGATCCTACCTATTATGTAATGTATATTTTGGCTATTTAAATTATTATTGATTATTATCTTTCAATTTGAATATTTTACTTAATTATATGCATGATATCTAATGGCTCAGAGATACAGCTTATTCTTTACATTGTAAGGATTTTGTTCAATCACAATACTACTCAAAATAATTAGATTTTTTTGCTACAGATATCTAAATTTTTTTTATTTAAAATTTAATTGTGTTTAAAAATTGTTTCTGTTCTTGATATTTTTTGAAAATTTCATCATATATATTTCCTCCTTTTTTTATATTGTGATAATCTTTGCTCTTGTCTCTTTTCATATTCTTTCCTATATATTCTTATTGTATTTCATAAGCCATTAATGTTATGTTAAACTTAAAATTGCTTCTGTTAATGCTTATTATGAACTTAATCTATTACTTTATTATTATTATAGTTTATTTTATCACTACTCAGGTTCACTATTTTTACTCATTTAAAAATATTAGGTTTTTTATGTTTTTCAATTTTTCCTGATTAATTCTCATTTAATATAATTTCCGAATTATGGTGATAACTAATTTATTTATAATGCTTTAGGAGATTTGATAATAGTTATTGAGAATATAAAGTATTTGAAATTAAAATATTTGACAGTATATATCTTAATAGTCATTTCATTTTTATTTTTGTTTTAATTTAGAGAATTTTTATTAATAATAAATAAAATTTTAGTTTCTGCTTTTTGTAAATTTTATTTCTTGAAAAAGTAAAAAGAAAAATGTCAATCAATATAAAAAACGTTTAATATAGAATAAAAGAATGCCAAGCCATTCCAAAAGAAAAAATAGATTCTATACTCAATTTATTAAAAGAAAAAAATAGCTATGATGAATTTTGCTTTTACGATTATGACAACACAAATTTAGTATTGTTAACATAAAATTTGGTTCTTTAGAAATAAGTTGCTCTCTAAATAATTGAACTTAAAGACCCTCAATTTTTTGGTAAATAAAATTTATTAGTAAAATTTTCATATTACAATTTAGTCTAGTTAATAAGGAAATAAATGAGTATTTGATTTCATAAGCTTTACTATCAAATTTTCAAATAGATGAATATGATCTCAATTAGTGTAAATATAACATTTCAAAGCTTAAATAAAATGCGTTTTTTGAAATTAATAGATTTAAGTTAAAGGAAAGTCAATCTTTTACACGTAAATTAATTTAAATAAAGTCAAATACCATTTTTAATAATATAAAATCTAGCTAAATAGTTTAAAGATGCATAATTAGACTTCATTAAATTTTGTAAGATAAATTGAAGATTCGTCTGTGTAATAAATATAAACACTAAAAATAGTACTATTTTATTAATTTTTTTAATTTCGATAAAGTTACAACAAAAGTATTAAAGATCTTGTAATGTTGAACGATTATTAAGAGTGCAAATCACTAGAGTTTGTATATCTTAATCTTAAGTACAGTTATTTTTTAAAAGTGTTATAATTGCTAAATTTTAACATATATTTATAGTTAAACTAACTTAGACAATTCTACATTAAATTTGCTATCCTAAAGCATATCCGTCTGGAATAAAATTTAAGACTTAGCTTTGCACTTAAGGTAAATTTTATTTCAATTTTAAATGAAAAAAACTTATTCATTTACTCAGAATTAATTCAATAAAGCTATTAAAAGTATTAAATATTTTATTTAAAAATCCTAATTAATTTCGATATCTCCTTTACTAATATATTTTATTAACTATGTTACTTGAAAAATATATTTTAATTAAAAAAAGTTCTAATGGACTAAATACTGAATCAGTTACATCACTTAGTAAAAGCATTGAGAATTTAAGCCTACTTTCTAGTTTAACCTTGAACTTTTCGTAATTATAATCTTATTCAAAATAATGGATAAAAATTTTTTAATAGAGAAAATAAGCTTGGATCGCAAGGGCTAGTTTAAATAGCAAAAGGAATATCAAAGCTGTAATTGAAAACATTTACACTCCATCTAAGGTGAATTAGAAATAAATTTTAGAACTTTTTTTATAAAATTTAATTTGAAGGGAAAATTAAATAGGTTCAAATGGAGCAAAGGCATTAGGCTAGCATTTAGAAAATTAATAATAGTTACATACTTTATTTGTAAACTTTGGGTATCATTTTTATTTTATTTCATAGGTTTTAATTAAATTCATTATAAAAAGCTTTAATAATATTTAATCAGAAGGAGCAAACTGCTTAATCTAAGGTGTCTCTATGTGCAGCTAAATCTAATATGTCAAGATAAACTTACAGTTATCAATTAAATTTAATTTATTTTAAAAATAAATTAACATTATTATTATTATTTAAAAATAAAGGAATAACAAAATAAAATAAATAAAAGACTTATCCAATCACATTATTACTCAAAAAGGATTAAAGTCGTTAGATATTTAATTGCAGTATAAATTTATTTATTTATTAATTTTGATTTCAATTTCTTAAATGAAAATCTCTTTAGGAATAATAAAATTAATTCTGAAGAATAATCGTAATTCGCTTAAATTGTTACTGAGTTAAAAAATACGAGCACATAAATTAGTCTTTTACAGTAATAAAAACAAATTAAATTGCTTTTATAAATTAAAATGAAATATTTAAAGGACCACTGAAATTAGTAATTTGTACGATAGTGAAGAAGAATATTAGCAATCTATCAAGTATGAATTAATTAATTAAACACATATTTAATTTCAAAATTAAAAACTGTAAAATTAACAAATAATTAGATTGTAAAAAGTTTGTCCTCTAATGATATCTTCTTTAGGAAACAAGTTAGCATCCTTAACTAACGTTTAATCTCTGTCTCTTGAAATTAAGTGAGTTTTATTTATTAATAAATAAATATTTGCACTTTTTATAAATTAAAATTTAAATATTAAATTAGGAATTCTTAAATTGAAGGAAGTTAACTAAATGATTTAGGGCTAGGCTTATAGCATTGTCAATCTCTAAATGAATTAATGGTTGAAATCAAGTGAGCATAATTTTTACATTGAAATAATATTTAATTTTATTAAAAAATAATTTAGAGATTCGTAGATATCACCTGATCAATAATTAGGTTTATTTAGCTTGATAAACTGTTTAAATATTTCTAAAATATAAATCAAAGTTTCGGAGTAAGTTAATTTTATCAATTTAGACAATTTAAATTATTTATCTAGCCTAAAAATAGAAATAAACTCAAATGACTCTAAGTCATACGAGCTAGCGTAAAAACCATCAAAAGAATTCTAAAATTAATAAAATTTTTTCTAATGATAAAAAGGTTCAAATCTGTAGGATTTCCTCTTTTTTAAAAGTTGTGTGATAATTTATACATCTTTAATAAGTTTTCAAGCCTAAAATTTGACATGAAGTATTTATTTTATTAATTATTTAAAAGTTGGTATTCATTTATCTTATCTTAAACTTTAGGTTCTGTAAAATAGAAGAATAAGGCATAATTTGTTTGGGAGAATAATTAACAAAGCTATAAAATCTTAGGTGCTTTCATGTTGTTGCTATGTATTCATTCATTTTATTTATCAAATTTATATATAAATATTAAATTTAAATTGTTAGGTTATCTGATATTGGAAAAGAAGGTGTAATCTAATTCTTTAAAAAAACTAAAACAATCAAAGGAATCAGAAAAATGACATTTGAATACTAGTAAATAAATTCTAATTAAAACAAATTTATATTTAATTAATTATTTTTATATTTTTAAAGTGGAAACAGTATGTCTTAAATCGAAAGAAAAAAGCTTACTAGCATAGGTATCAAAGCGCCTTATCTAGTAGATTTTTGCTTTACAAATTGAGTTGCTTTTTTATTGGTTTTTGAAAAAAGTCTTATTTTAATAATTAATATTATTTTAATGTAAATGTTATTTTTATTGTAATATATTCGAATATCAATCATTTATTTTTAACCAAAATTATCGCTTTAATTTCAGAAAAATATTTAAAAATTAAAACCAACATTTTATAATTAATTCTTTATAGATGGACAATATAAATTTATATAGCAAGAAAATTAATTCTAAAATAATTCGATCGATAACACTTACTATATATATGTATTTGTAATTGCTATGTATAAATTTTCTTTATTATTTTGAATTTAAAGAATTGAAGATACTGATTTATTTATTAATTTGACCTAAATAAGGACTATTTATGCAAAAATCAATCTATCTTATATATAATATTTCAAAGATTTAAATAATAATTTTATCTTACTATCTCAATAATTTATTTAATCTTCTTTTTTATTACTAAACTTAAAATAAAATATAAAAATATTTTTTTATAATTTTTGATAAAAAAATTTTACCATTTTACAAAAGTGGTCAGAATTCAACTGAGATAATTAGCTGCTAATAACTGCTTTAATTAAATTTAATTATTTTTAAAATAGACAACAGCTATCAATAGTACAGAATTGCTCTTTTAGCTTTTATTAAATGAAGTAGAAAGTCATCCAAATTTAATATTTATTTGATATAGACAAACTATTAATAGTACAGGTAACATTTTTAGCTTTTACTGTTAATTAATTAATTAATTCCGACATTTTTTACTTCAATTAAAAATATAAAAATGTTTAACTACTCTTTTTAATATAAACAAAAACAAACATAATACAATTAATAAAAAACAATAAATAAACGAATAAAAAACTAAAATACCAAAAAAATGAAATACTTATTAACTATCACTTTTTTAGTTACCTTATGCTGCTTTTGCATGTGTGAATAAAAAAATTGCTCTGTTAATCTTACATGCAACAGTTCAGATAATATTTGCGAAAATGAGCTATCTCAATTTTAATAATGCGTTTCTTCTAAATGCAACTCTTAGAAAATTTAATCTTAAGATGCTTAGGAAATTTTTGATTGCTACTATATCAATTGCAAACCAACCTATCAGCCACTTTTATCAGAAATTATGAATGTATTTTCATGCTTAAATTTAAGTATCTCTGAGTCTGAGGAGCAAGTAGATGAAGAAAAAGAAGACTTGGAAGAATTAAAGGAATATCTAAATAAAACTAGTGATGGTAAATGCCTTGCAAAAATGATAGGCGACTGCTAAGCTTCTTCAAACGAATGTGTTACTAGCTTCTACATTTAACTAAAATGCATATAATATTAATGTGATTTAAAAGAAGATCATACCATAAAAGAAGTTAATTAATGCATTTAAAATACTTGTTAATCTAGCTTTAATAAACTTAAATAGCTCAACAACTAATTTTCTTAGTGCTTGTCTTAAAGTTATTTGATTGGCATTTCAATATCCTTTTTCTTAATCTTATTAATATTATGAAAAAACTAATTGATTAATAACTAAAAAAATAGTTATTTTACATAAAATTGATTTATTTTATTTGTATCTATCTAGCTATCTTTATTTTTATGTTGTAATTAAGAAAGTTTAAAATTAATTTTCATTAACAAACTTATAAATAAAAAAATAGAATTTGTTATATTTTTATTTTAAAAATAATTTTTTTGTTTAAAATATATTTATTTTAATTGTATTTATAATATGTTGTGATTTTGAAACTTACTTTAAAAATGTTAATTCATAATTTATCTTTTAATTTATTTAAGATATTAGTATGTATGTATGTATGTATGTATGTATGTATGTAAAAACTGAATAGAATTCATTTGTTTATTATGTGGTAGTAGATCAATTTTTAACATACAAAATCAAATAAATTTTAATAAAATTAAACTTTTTTTCACCTAAATCTTAATTATTATTTTTCTAAACTTTTTTTTCTTTCTTTTTTGATATAAAAAACTTTGTGATTTATTGAATTTGTAATATTTTTGACTTTAAATTTAAACACATTGTAGTTTCTGAAAATTGATATTGAATGAAATAAATAAACTGTTGGCTAATTTAAATTCTTACTAATTATCTTTGCTTATTTTAAGTAAACATAAAATAGAAATAAAATTTCATTACATAAAATAACTAATATGTATTTTTAAAGTTTATTTTATTTTTGGGCTATGCTTGCCTGCTAAGTATTTAGAAAAAAAGCTAAAAATAAAGTATGATTTCTAATTTAGTTAATTATCTAGTTGATATAATATAGACAACAACTATTACTAATTAGCATTTTTAAATTAAATGAATTTAAAATTTATCAGAATATCTTTTTTGATAAAATACTTCTAGTAAATTTAATTTTGTAATGAATACCTTCCTACGTATGATATGCAATATTTTATCTATTATTTCTTTTATGGTAAAAGTTTTTTAATTTAATTATTGTTTTGGTTTTCTATATTAAAAGGGCACCCAATAAGTAAAAATATTTGAGATATAAAGTTATTCTATTGCAAATTCTATCTTTTTATTTTGTGTTAAATTAATAAAAATGTATTATTCATGTTAAATATATTATTTATAATAGTAATAAATAAATATTTATTTAAATAAAACCTGTAAAAAGTACTAACTAACTAAATATATTATAATTTGAATTTCGCCTCATAAAAACTAATCAAAATCATAAAACTATTTATAGTAAAATAATTTGAAGTTTGTTTGTCTACTTCAAATTACACTTTAAAAAAACTACAATATTATTTTAATATAAATTAATAAACAAATAAAAGCTTAAATAGGCAATAAAACAAACAAATTACCATAAATTGTAAGATTTATAAAAAAATAAACTTAATAAATGAAATCATTACTAATTATCACTCTGATATTTTGCTTCTTCGGCTACGGATTATCTGAAAATACCAAGTGCCCTCTTAATCTCTCTTGCGATAGTTCTAATACTAGTTGCTAAAATGAATTGAATTAATTTTAGCAATGTATTTCTACTAAATGTGACTCATAGAGTATTTAATCTTAAGATGCTAAAGAAATTTTTGATTGCTACTACGTGAAATGCAAAACAGACTATCAACCTTTTTAATCAGAAATTTTGAAAATGTTCTAATGTCTAAATTTAACATAATCTGAAGAAACATAAGATGACACAAAGGAAAGTGAAGCTAAAATGGAAGAAATAAAAGCAAATCTTCTTAAAAGCAAATAAGATTTATGCCTAGCCCAAATGATAACTGACTGCTTAGCCTCTACAAAAGAATGTGTTCCTAATTTCTACTTTTAATTATACTGTATATCTTCTTAATGTCAACTAGAAGATAATTCTTCAATAAGTGATATAAATAAATGCATTTAAAGCACTTGCTAATCTAATTATGACGAACTTAAAAAGTTGAATATCTAATTCTCATAATGTTTGCAATAACTAAGCAACATTTCTTTTGGTTACATACCAGGTGTTACTATTTTATTAGCCTTAATTTTAATAGTCATTTGAATTTTTAATTTTAAAATAAATTAAAATAATTAATATTAATTTGATTCAGCTTTAACCTATTTATGTATTTTGTAGTTTGGTTATTATGCATGCAGTTAATTAATATCTTTAATTAGTTAAATATTTTAGAATAAATATATATAAAATAGTTTCCCCATGCACATATTATTCATTAGTTGTTAGGGAAAGGTAAATAAATTTATATAATTTTTATTTTTAAAATTTTTAAATCAGAAATTATATTTAACATGTATAAATAAAGCAAACCAAAAATTATTTTCTATCATATATTAAAAATGATACTTCAGAGGAGTATTATTTAGTGGACGAATATAATTTAACTTTTAATGAACACCCTGTATAAAACTAATTTTTTGGATAGATAGTCATTTATTGGTGTGATCTAAATTAAGCACTATTTCAATAATTTAAATAATAATTTTATATTACTAGAAATATTTTTAATCTTTGATTGTAAAATTTAAAGTGAAAATAAAATAGAAAAATATTTTTTATCATTTTTGATAAATTAAAAAACAAACATGTCATTTTAAAAAAATTAATGATCAATATTCGATCGATGCTGCTAATAACAATTTTCACTTTAATTAATTTTAGTAATGATTAAAATAGACAAAACTATTAATAGAACAGAATTATCATTTTAGCTTTAATTAAATGTAATAATGTATCTTAATTGAGTATTTATTGGATATAGGCAAAATTATTAATTAATAGTAGACAGATAAAATTTTTAGCTTTTACTGTTAATCAACTTCAATGTTTTTATTACTTCCATTATAAATCAACTATTTATTATTTTTAATTAACTATCACTTTTTTAGTTAACTTATGCTACTCTTTTATGTGCGAATAAAAAAGCTTCTCAATTATCTTTAATTCAATAATTAAGATAATATTTGCGAAAATGAGCTATCTCAATTTTTACAATGTGTTCCTTCTAAATGTAACTCTTAGAAGATTTAATCTTATGGTTTGGGAATTTTTTTATTACTGTTATATCAGTTGAAAACCAAGCTATCAGCCTCTTTTATCAGAAATTAATTATGAATATGCCATTCATACTTAAATTTAAGTATCATTTAGTTTGAGCAAGTAGATGAAGAATTAGAAGGTGAAGAAATTGACTTGGAATAATTAAAGGAAAACTTTAATAAAATAATTGAGAGTAAATAAATGCCTTGCACGAATGATAAACGACTGCTTAACTTCTTCAAACGAACTTGTTGCTAGCTTCTAAATTTAATTATAATGCATTTCTTCATATAGCGATTTCTAAGAAGATCCTACCATAAATGAAATGAATAAAGACATTTAAAATACTTATTAATCTAGCTTTAATTAATTTAATTAGCTCAATAACTAATTTTCTTAGTGCTTATAATAATTTGATTTACTTCTTAAAGTTATTTGATAAGCGTTCAGATATCATTTTTCTTAATCTTATTAATATTATGAAAAAATAAATTAATTAATAACTAAAAAAATAGCTTTTGTGTAAAATTGATTTATTTTATTTGAATGTATATATGTATGTATGCATCTATCTTAATTTTTATGTTAGAATTATGAAAGTTTAAAATTTAATTAAACAAACAAATTAATAAATAAAAAAATAGAATTTTTTTATGTTTTTATTATTGTTAGTTTTTTTAAAATATTTGCATTATTATTTTTATGTTGTTGTTTTTAAACTTAAAATTTAATTCCTAATTTATCTTTTAATTTATTTAACATATTAATATACAAGTAAAAACTGAATAGACTTCCTTTTTTTATGATGTAATAAATTAATTAAATTAAATACGACCTAAATCTTAGTCATTTCATTTTATTATTTTTCAAAAATTTTTTTCTTAAAAAATTTGTGATTTATTGAATGTAAGTGTAATAATTATTTTTGACTTTAAAAAAGCACACTATGGTTTCTGAAAATTAATTCAGTTCAAATGAAAGTAAATAAACTGTTGGCTGGCTAATTTAAATTCTTACTTATTATATTTGATTGCTTTAATTAAACATAAAATAGAAATATTATTTCATTACACAAAATAACTAATAAGTATTTTTAAATTTTATTTCATTTATTTTTGGACTACTATTATATCTGCTTAAAAAAAATTAAAAATAAACTATCATTTCTAATTTATTTGACTATCTTATTTGATATAATATAGACAGACAACAACTATTACTATTTAGAATTTTTAAATTAAAAGAAATTAAAATTTATCAGAACTAATTTTTGATAAAAATACTTCTAGTAAGTAAATTTCATTTTTAATGAGTGCTTCCTGTCTATGATATCCAAAAATTTATCTATTACTTTTTAAATGATAAAAGTTTTTTATTTTAATTATTGCATTGGTTTTCTGTATTAAAAGGGCATCCAATAAGTAAAATTATTTGAGTACATAAAGTTATTCTATTTTAACTTTATTTTCTTGTGTGTGTGTCAAGTCAAGTTAATAAAAATTAATTATTTCTGTTAAAAAATATTACATATAATAGCAATAAATATTTATCTAAATAAGAGCTATATATAAATAGCACTCAACCTATTTTAATTTCGTCTCATAAAAACTAATTAAAACTCATAATTTATATTACTATTTATAGTAAACAAATAAAACATACATTTAATTAATATTTTATTAAATCCGATGCTTGTCTACTTTAAAAAAAACTGCAATCCTATTTTAGTATAAATAAATAAGCAAACAAACAAATAAAACTTAAATAACCACTAAAACTAACAAACAAAATAGCATTTATAATACAATTTACAAAAAAATAACCTGATAAATGAAATCATTACTAACTGTCACTATCATATTTTGCTTCTTCAGTTATTGCCTATCAGAAAATACAGAATGTTCTCTTAATCTCTCCTGCAATAGTTCCGATACTAACTGCTAAAATGAGTTAAATTAATTTTAAGAATGTACTTCTACTAAATGTGACTCATAGAAAATTTAATCTTAAGATATTTAAGAAATTTTTGATTGCTACTATATTAAATGCAAACCAAGCTATCCACCTTTTCTATCAGGAATTTTTAACTTATTTGAATGCTTAAATTTAAAAATACCTAAAGAAATTGAAGAAGTTGATTTGGAAATAGTAAAAGCCCAACTTAATAAAAGCAAAGAAGGTTAATGTCTAGCTCAAATGATAACTGACTGCTAAGCCTCTTCTAATGAATGTATTCCTAATTTCTATATTTAAATATAATGTATGTCTTCTTAATGTAAACTCTAAGGTTATCCTTCAATGTGCGACATAAATAAATGCATTTCAAGCACTTGCTAATCTAATTATGATGAACTTAAAAAGTTGAATATCTAATTCTCATAATGCTTGCAATAATTAGATAATACCTCTTTTAGTTATTTACCAAGTTTTACTATTTTATTAGCCTTATTCTTAATCATGATTTGAAATTTTAATATAAACAATAAATGAAAATAATATATATTAATTTGATTTAGATTTTAACTATTTATTTTTGTATTTTATCTTTTTTATGTAGTTGATATCTTTAATTATTATTTTTAAATATTTTATTATCATTCAATATAAAATTAAACCTTCATTATCCCCTCCACATATTATTCTTTGAATAAATTAATAAGGGTACTTGGAAATATTTAAAAGCATATAATCAATATTGATATATTAAATAAATTTTAAATTAGCGATGTAATTAATAATAACACTTTACAATTTTTAGACTTAAAAATTTTTTCATTCATTTAATATGTAATAAAAAAAATTAATTGTTTGATAAAAAAATTTATTTAGATTTCTTCATCAAAAACAAATTAAATCTTAGACTAAACATTTTTTACTTATTTTTTCTTCTATCAGGTTCGTTTATTTCTTTAAAATTTTTTTAATTTTATCAAATAATATTTATTGATCTAATAAATTTACATTTCTTACTCAGGATATAATTATTAGTAAATAGCTATATCTTATATTAAGCTTTAGGTTCTGCAAAATAGAAAAATAAGGTATAATTTCTATGGCAGAATAAATAACAAAGCTGTAAAATCTTAGGTTATTTCATGTTGTTGTTATTTATAAAATGTATATATAAATATTAAATTTAAATTGTTAGGTTATCTGATATTTGAAAAGAAGTTTTAATCTAATTCTTTAAAAGAACTAAAACAATCAAACGAATTAGAAAAATAACATTTGAATACTAGTAAATAATTTCTAAGTAAATCAAATTTATATTTAATATTAATTAGCTTTATATTTTTATAGTGAAAACATTATGTCTTAAATCAAAAGAAAAAAACTTATTAACACTTATATCAAAGCACCTTATCTATTTTATTTTGCTTTACAAATTGATTGAGTTGTTTGCTTTATTATTGATTTTTTGAAAAAAGGCTTATTTTAACAATTAATATTATTTTAAAAGTTATAAATAATATAAAATACTTTTTCTTAGTTAATGTTATTTTTATTGAATATATTCGAATATCAAGCATTTATTTTTAACCAAAATTATCTCTTTTAATTTCAGAAAAATATTTCAAAATTATAACCTATATTTTAAACCTAATTCTTAATTTATGATCTATTTAAATTTACATATGTGTAATAAAATTATTTCTAAAATAATAAGATCATATTTTTTATGCAAAACAAACTTATATGTAAATCATACGTATAAATTATCTTTATTTTTTTGAATTTAAATAATCGTAGATACTCATTTATTTATTTATTGAGGTAGCTTAAATTTAGGATTATTTTTGCAAAAATCTTATCAAAAAATATTTCAAAGATTTAAATAATAATTTTATCTGACTTGAACAATTTCATCTTCTTTCTTTATTATTATTATTAAACTTAAAAGAAAATAAAAAAGAAAAATATTTTATTATTGTTTTTGATAAAAACTTTGTCATTTTACAAAAATGATCTGAATTTGAATTAGATAAATAGCTATTAATAGCTATTTTTTTAATTAAATTTAATAATTAATTTTTAAAATAGACAACAGCTATTAATTAATAGTACACAATTACTATTTTAGCTTAAATTAAATATATTAGAAAGGTATCGAAATTTAATATTTATTTCATATAGACACACTATTAATAGTAAAAAGATAATATTTTTAGCTTTTACTGTTAACTAATTAATTTCAACATTTCTTTTACTTCGATTAACAATATAAAAATTTTCAACTACTCTTTTTAATATAAACAATAACAAAAAAATACAATTATAAAAAACAATAAATAAACGAATAAAAAATTAACAAACCAAAAAAATGAAATACTTACTAACTATCACTTTTTTAGTTACCTTATCATGCTTTTGTATGTGTGAGTAAAAAGATTGCTCCCTCAATCTTTCATGCAACAGTTCAGATAATACTTGCTAAAATGAGCTATCCCAATTTTAATCATGTGTTTCTTCTAAATGCGACTCTTAGAAGATTTAATCTTAAGATGTTTGGGAAATTTTTGATTGCTACTATATCCATTGCAAGCCAAGCTATTAGCCTCTTCTATCAGAAATTATGAATGTGTTTTCATGTTTAAATTTAAGTATTTCTGAGTCTGAGCACGTAGATGAAGAATCAGAAGATGAAGAAATTGACTTAGAATAATTAAAGGAAAACCTTAATAAAAGTAGTGAGGGTAAATGCCTTGCACAAATGATAAGCGATTGCTAAGCTTCTTCAAACGAATGTGTTGCTAGCTTCTACATTTAATTATAATGCATGTCTTCATAATGCAATTTGGAAGAAGAACCTACCATAAACGAAATTAATAAATGTATTTAAAATACTTGCTAATCTAGTTTTGATTAGCTTAAATAGCTCAACAATAAATTTTCTTAATGCTTGTAATAATTAGATTAAACTTCTTCAAGTTATTTGATCAGCATTACAATATCATTTTTCTTAATCTTATTAATATTATGAAAAAATAAAAAAACTAATAACTTAAAAAAGAGCTTTTTTGAATAAAACTGATTTATTTTATTTGTATCTTTCTTTGTGTCTATGTTGTAATTTTGAAATTTAAAATTTTGTTAAACTAAATATAAAATAAAAAATAGAATTCGCTATATTTTCATTTTTAAAAATAGATTTTTTGAAAAAAATATATTTATTTTATTTGAATTTTTATTGATATATTGAAATATTTTTAATCATTTTGAAACTTTAAACATTTTATCTTTTAAATTAAGGTATTAACATACATGTAAAAACTGAATAGACTTCTTTTTTATATTATGTGGAAGAGCAATTTTTATCATATAAAAAATAAATTAGAATAAAATTAAACTAAAAATCACCTAAATCTTAATCATTTTTTTAAATTATTTTTCTAATTTTTGGTTCTTTCATTTTTCAAAATAAAAAATTAGTGATTTATTGAATGTGTGTGTGTGTAAAATTTTAGGCTTTAAAAAAGTACATTATAGTTTCTAAAAATTAAGTTTGAAAAAACTAAATAAACTGTTGGCTAATTTAAATTCTTACTTATTATGTTTGCTTGTTTTAATTAAACATAAAATAGAAATATTATTGCATTAAATAAAATAACTAATAAGTACTTTTAAAGTTTATTTCATTTTTGGTTATTCTTGCCTGTTATGTCTTGAAAAAAACTAAAAATAAACTATTGTTTCTAATTAAGTTAGCTATCTAATTTGATATTAACAGAGACAACAATTATTACTAATCAACATTTAAATTAAAAAAAATTAAAATTTATCAGAACATTTTTTAGATAAAAATACTTCTAGTAAATTTAATTTTTTAATGATTACCTTCCTGCATATAATATGCAAAATTTGGTCTTATATTTCTTAAAAGATAAAAATTTTTTATTTCATTCTTGCTTTGGTTTTCTGTTGAAAAGTGCATGTACCCAATAAGTAAAAAACTTTTAGAGTATATAAAGTTATTCTATTTTAACTTTATCTTTTTTGTAATAATCAAATTTATAAAAATTGATTATCCGTGTTAAAAAATATTAGATGTAATAGCAATAAATATTTATTTAAAGAAAAGCTATAAATAGCACTCAAAATATTTTAATTCGAATTTCTTCTAATAAAAGTTAATCAAAAATTATAATTTGTATTACTATTTATAGTAAACAAAATATATTTTTAATTAATACTTTATTAAATTCGATACTTGTCTACTACAAATTAAACTTTAAAAAAAACTGCGATCTTATTTTAATATAAATAAATAAACAAACAAAAAAAACTTAAATAACAAAATCAAGCAAACAAAATAAATAGCATAAATAATACAATTTATAAAAAAATAACCTAATAAATGAAATCCTTACTAACTATCATTTTCATATTTTGCTTGTTCGGCTACTGCATGTCAGAAAATACCGAATGTCCTCTTAATCTATCCTGCGATAGTTCCGATACTAGTTGCTAAAATGAGTTAAATTAATTTTAACAATGTACTTCTACTAAATGTGACTCATAGAAAATTTCATCTTAAGATGTTTAAGAAATTTTTGACTGCTATTATATAAAATGCAAACCAAGCTATCAACCATTTTTATCAGAAATTTTGGACATGTTCTAATGTCTAAATTTAATAATATCTGAAGACATACAAGAAGACTCAGAAGATGGTGAAGTTGACTTGGAGAAAGTAAAAACCCATCTTAATAAAAGCAAAGAAGGTTAATGTCTAGCTTAAATGATAACTGACTGCTAAGCCTCTTCTAATGAATGTATTTCTAATTTCTATATTTAAATATAATGTATGTCTTCTTAATGTCAACTCGAAGATGATCCTTCAATGAGTGACATAAATAAATGCATTTAAAGCACTTGCTAATCTAACTTTGATGAACTTAAAAAGTTGAATATCTAATTCTCATAATGCTTGCAACAATTAGACAGCACTTCTTTTGGTACCTTACCAGGTGTTACTATTTTATTAGCCTTATTCTTAATAGTGATTTGAATTTGTAATATAAATAATGAATTAAAATAATATATATAAATTAATTAGATTCAGCTTTTAATTATCTTTGTATTTTATGGTTTTTATGTAGTTAATATCTTTAATTATTATTTTTAAATATTTTATTATCATTCAATATAAAATAAAACCTTAATTTCCCCATACACACATTATCCCCTCGTCACGAGGGAAAAATAAATTTATGAAATTTTTATTTTTTAAGTTTGTTTTTAAATAAAAATTTATGTCAAATTTTAAATCTTTGACGCTTTTGACGAAAATACCCCCCTCCTTTTAATCACTGGTTATAATTTAAATATTTTTACTTTTTAAGCCATTTTTATCAAAATTTAATCTGGATTTTTATGAAAGTAATGAAAATCTTATCAAGCTTAAATTATCAATGGTTAATAAGCTTGCTGAATAGGTATCATAGTTGCTTCAGAATTTATTATAATCTGTTACATAGTAAAGTAAATATTGTCAAAGTAAAATTTATTCTTAATGTCTTAATTTATATAAACTCTCTATTGTGATTTTTAAAATGCTTTCTTATAAGTTTTTTATTTTTCTTTATATTAAAGATTTTTTTTATTATATTAATAATAATATTTTATTTTGATTTGTGTAATTAATATATTTAATTTTAAATAAATACCAAATTGAGAGGTCAAAATATATAAAAAGAAGAATATATTAATATACTAAGGTTTTCAAATTGCTCTTAAATTGTCTAAAAAATAAAAATTTTTATTATAAAATTATTTTTTAATTTTATTAATGATTTATGTGTTGTTTTTAAGAAGAAATTAATAAAAAAATTTATGTAAAATTATTTTTATTTATTTATTTTCTTGTTTGTTTGTTTGTTTGTTTATCAGGATAAAGTTAAAAATTTGCTAAAATAATGTTGGGTTTTCAATAAATCAGTTTTAAAAAATAAAATAGCAATTTTATTTAATTACATTATAAATATTTAAATGTAATTTTTGTATGAATTTGAGGATAATTAGAATTTTTATTATAAATTATTGAATTGTTTTAAATTATTAGGATATCTATCTAATATGTCCAATAAGATTAGGTTTTTCAAAGAAATAAAAATAGGACACAAAACATCCAGGTTTTAAAGATATTTTGTATTTGTATTAAATAATAAACAGCTAAGGATTGAATTGAATCTGGGTATTTATAAAATTTTTTAGAAGAGGATTGATTATATTTATTTTGCTTTTGCTCATGTTGAAAATGAACAAAATATTCTAACATTTTTTTTTCCCTAAAAATGAATGGATCTATTTACTTAATAAAAATTATATTGAAACAAATTGAATTAAAAATCTTATTTAATACTTATAATTAATTAAGTATTTTGTTTGATTGAATAAGCTAAATAAAATAATAAGCAAAAAATAGACTTTTAAAAAATGGAATATATAGATTAAAATTTATTTAAACTAGTTGAAGTAAAATAAAAGTTGGTAAAGCATATAAAAGGTAGGGAGAAATTAAGAGAGCAACTCAAAGATAAAAGCGTCTAAATGCATGATAATTAGCAAAGTCTTAGTAAATTGCATTCAAATTTAAATAAATTACTAGCTTATAAACATGATTAATTAAAAAGATTTTTATAATTTTTGGAACCTGTTGCAATAAAAATGAGCATTATTTAATTTAAAAGTTTTAAATCTCACTTTTATAACAAATAAATAGTTTCTAATATGAAGGAAAATGATATACCTAATAATATAACCTCAAATATAGATAAAATGATTAAAGAGTTAAAACAATATGGATTTGATGATTTTAAATTTTTAGGAAAAGGACAATAAGGAAATGTTTTGTTAGCAAAAGAATAAAAAACAAATAGGAGATACGCAATCAAAGGTTTTCTTATAAAACATGATAATGGAGAAATTATAGAAGACCATTTAAAATCAGCAAATAAAGAAATAGAGATGCTTTAATAATGTAAAGGCTCCCCTTTTGTGGTTAATATTTTTAGATAAATAGATGGATAATATTTCAAATACTTAATTCTTAATGAGTGTTAAGGTAATATTAAACTCTATCAACTAATTTATAAAGCTAAATTCATACTTTTTTTAATAGGAAGTTTAAACTAAATACTCGATAAATAATCAAATAAATTGTTAAACGAAATAACTGCAATCAAATATTCTAAAGATATTGCAGAAGGACTTCTACATATTCATTCCAAGAAGTGTGTTGCTAATGACCTGAAGATGGATAATATTTTAATTGACTACAACGGAAATGCAGTAATTTGTAATGCTCAAATAAAATTTAAAGCTTTGATAAATTAGAATAAATATAATAAATAAATAAATAAATAAATAAATAATAATAGGTGATTTTGGATTAGCAGATTAACTTACAAAAACAAATGGCTTTAGCATAAATGAATATGTTTAATTAATTTTTATATTTTCATTTATTATTTATATATTTTTTTAATTCATCATAAATAGAAGGGTAATTATTAATATTGTGCACCAGAATGTTGTTTAGATAGTGAAATTTATGAATATCCTAAAGAGTATTAAAAATAATAAATTCTAATAGAAACAAATCCTACTCCAAAAGTAATAAAAATAATTAAATCAAATAATAATATTAATATTTACATTATTATTTAAAATACATTAATATAGAGTGAAGCTTTTTCTTTGGGTAAAAATAATAAATTAATTAATTAATTAATAAATAAATAAAGCCAGATAGAAAAATATTAAATATTTTATGGTGATAAATAAATAAATAGGTTACATAATTTACTATATGATCCATTAGTCAGAAGCATATAAAGCTGTATTAAATAAACATAAGTCTTTGGATTTTAAAGGATTTGAAAATTTTATTTATAATAGATAACTTTAATATATAATCAAGAAATTAACAAAATTTGATCCAAATAAAAGAATAGAGATAAAAGATGCTCTGATTATACTGAAAGGAATTATTTCACATGAATTCAAATTAGATTAGAAATTTATTAAGACTATGGTGGATGATGATCAAGGAGTAACCTAATAATATATTAGATAAATCAAAAAAGATATAGAGTTTATCTAGTGTTCTGAAAATACATTTTATCCTATCATGTAATTTTAAATATTTTAAAAAATTTTTAATAAAGCTTCAACAGTCAAAATGAAAAGGAATTTGTACAAGCATTAGATTCATATGTTCCCATGCTTCAAAAATAAATTAAGGATCTCACAAAAAAAACAGAAGAACTCTAAAATTAAAATCTGATGTAATTTGCTATTGTGTTTAAATTTTACTCTGTATGTATATATTATCAAAATTTAAAATTAATTTTTATTCCTTTATTATAATTTATTAAATTAAAAACTTATTTATTATAATTATTATTATTTTAATATATAGTTTAGAACAGGAAAAAAATTAATTATTAAATTAATTAGATCAATAGAATATATTCTATAATAACAGGCAATAAGATTTTTAAAAGTAATTAATATAAACTTTAATTATTTATGAAAAAAGATTATAACTTTGATTCGTTTTATTCTAATTAAAAAAAATATATTTTATTATTTATTATAAGATATTGAATTAAAAATTAGTATTTATTTTATTATTTTTAATTATAGTTTAGAAGAAAAAAAGAATTAATTACAAAAGAAATTAGATTAATTGACTTTGTAAAACGATACCATGCAATAATATTGTTAAAAGTAAGTTATTTATTTATAAAAATAAATAAATAAATAAAAAATATTTTTTGTTTTCAAATTAAAAAAAATAGTTAATTAACTATCTCTTTAAAAATAATTTGATTATTTATTATAGTTTATAAAATTAAAAAACTTACATTTTTATTAATATTTTAATATATAGTTTAGAACAGGAAAAAAATCTATTACAATAATAATTAGTTTAATAGACTGGGATGTATCGTATCTAAGAATAATTTTATTTAAAGTAAGCTATTTAAAAACTAAAATTATTTCTGAAAATAAATAAATAAATAAATAAATAATAACTTATTTTGTTTTCAATTTAAAAAAAATAGTTTAGAACAGGAAAAAAATCTATTACAATAATAATTAGTTGAATGGACTGAGATGTATCGTAACTAAGAATAATTTTATTTAAAGTAAGCTATTTAAAAACTAAAATTATTTATGAAAATAAATAAATAAATAAATAATAACTTATTTTGTTTTCAATTTAAAAAAAATATTTAATTAATTAATTAATTGATTATCTCTTTAATTAATCTAACTAATTAGATTAAAAAGCTGCATAAATTATTTTAATATATAGTTTAGAACAGAAAAATAACGAATTACAAAAATAAGTAGAGAATTACATTAAATAAATTCATAACAAGGAGTATTTTTTTAAAAAGTAAGTAAGTTATTTTAAAACTAAAATTATTTATGAAAATAAATATTTTATTTTCAATTTAAAAAAATAAATAGTTAATTATCTCATGAAAAAGAACTTTATGAAGCTGAAATCAATAAGTAAGTTTTTTAAAATTAATTCAATTTCTAAGAATTTATTTGAACCTTATTATGATTTGAAGAAATAAATAGCCAAATAAGTATATTTTTAAATTGATTGGCTTAGAAAAAATAATGAGAATATCTAGTATTAATCTTTTAAATAAATTTAATTATTTTAAAAATATTTTTTTTCTAAAAAGTTTCTTTAAATCATAACATAATAAAACGGAAAAATTATTTTACTTTTTTAATCTTATTATATTTAAATTAACATATTCTGTATTAAATAGATTAAAAAACATGGATTTAGAAAAGTAAAATATTTTTTAATAAAGAATTAAAGGAAATAATTAAAATACTAATTAATAGTCAATTGGGATATAAACAAGGAATTAACTAAACTTATTAATCTAATAAGTAAATTTAAATTTAGAAATTATCCTAAATTTATTTTTATAAAAATTAATTTTAAGAGCTAGATAGTCAGAAAATATTTCAAATGTACAACAATAATAAAAAAAGCTAGAGTAAAAAATTTCTAAATTAAAATAATAAAATAAATTGTAAATTTGTTCTACTTGCAATATTAATGAAAGAGACATTTTTATAAATGATTATTAAATTTGCTCTCACTGCTTAAGAAAATAATTTTTTAAATTAGCTTGATAATTCTGTATAAAAAATAAAAAGGTGATTGATTGATTGATTTCTTTCCAATTTATTAATTTATTAACATTTTATAAATTTATTTTGCTATTTAGTTAGTTATTTATATTTTATGTTTTTTTATTAATTTTATCTTTTATTTTATTCAAATCAATAAGAAGAATCTCTTTCAAAAATCTTTTTTATTTTTTTTATTAAAATATTTTTAAATATTGTTTTTTTATGATATTCACCTTAATATCAAAAAATTGAATACAAACTAAAATTAAAAATAATTTCTTGATTCTTTAAAAACCAAGCTTTCTTTTTTATTTTTTTGATTAATAGAACAATTCCAGAATATTTTTAAATCAATTAAATATTTATATATCTTTATTTATTATTAATTGAGCATTAAATAGCTGGGCTTGTAAAAAATACACGGGATTTTAGTATATAATAGGTCATCAGTTTTGTTAATATGTTTGATGTGTCATCAATTTTATGAAATTAATTCTGATTTCTTTATGAAATCTTCTATTTTAATTATACTGATTAAGAATTTTGATTTATTAATATTTTTAACATCCCTAATAAGTGAAAGTATCATCAAAACTTATTAAACCTAATCATAATAAAAATTAAATGCAATTTTATTAAAACTTAGTAAAGTAAATTGTAATGTAATTCACTTTCTAAAGCGTTTGTAAAATATTTTCAAATAAATGCAACTTATAATAAAAAATTATGACACTAATCGATATATATGAAAGTAAAATTCTATTTAGTTATTTTACTTTCAAAAAAAATGCTGCGCAATTTATCTATTTTGTTGCTTTAAAAATTTTACTAATGTAAACAAATAGAGTAAGTTTATTAAATTAAAGTTTTCCTTTATTCATTGATTCTTATAAAATCTAATATTAAAATAAGAATAGAATTATTTCATTTTACAATCCTAATTTTAGTAAAAAATCAAAATGCTTTAGATAATATTTTATGTAAAAGTATCATTTTAGTTAATATCTATTAATTTTTTTAATTAGGTTATCAATAATATTGTAAAAAAATTGAAAACTTATTTTTCACCTTTTACAAGGAAAATGTCTTTCATTATAATTCAAATTATATTTCTTAATGGATTAAAAAATTAAGAAAATACTAAATCCATTATACTATTAAGAAATTTTACTGGTATTTTTTTTAACTAAAACCAAAAATAAATGATCAGCTTTGAAATATTTTTGCTTTAAAAAAACAAAATTTTTTAACTAATTATTAAATATTTGTTCGATTTGTTGATAAATATTCAAATATTATTTTTAAAGTTAAGTTTTAATATTTTAAATTGGAATCTCTTCGATTTAATTTAATTAAATTGTGTAATTATAATATGTAAAAGGAAACATAGAAATAATCTAACTTGAATAATTAATTAAAAATATTAAATAGAGTAAATCACATATCAAAAAAGCTGTAAATTTAGAGGATGAGCATTGATTACTTTTTAATATTTATAATAAATAAAGGCATTCATCAATCAGTCACTTTAATTTAAAAGTAAAAATGAACCTTTACGCTTTGTATAAATTTTTTTAAAATATAAACAAAATTAATTTATAAAATACTAAGATGAAAGTTAGAAACCACCTAAAAGCTCTTTTGCGGAAGAACTTTATATTATGGAAAAGAAACTGGATATGCTCCATTTTCGAGATTTTCCTTCCTGCAATAATTGGATGTTTCTTTTTTGTAATAAGAAATTAGATCAAGATAACAGACATTGATACAAAGAGTTATATTGATGAGGTAAATCTTATTCATTATTTTTTTTTTTAATCTAACTTAATATCTAAAATTTATTTATCAAATTTATGTTTTTATTTTATTTTATTTTGTAGAGAGTCACTCTTGTACCTGATTTTTAAATTTTGGGAAAGAATCAACAAACTGGCAAAGATATCTTACCAATTATGAAAGATTGCATTCATGGAAAGACTTCGCATTACCCTAGCTATGCAAATGGACATGTTGCCTTGATTGGAGACCATGAAATCTTAGATAAATTAGAAACTATATTTACAAAAAATTATTAGTATCCTGTTAAGAGATATTAAGATGTTGAATAGGTAAATAAACATGTTAAAGACCCTAACTATAATTACGATCTTTGTTTGGGTATTTAAATGAACAAGGCTCTAAATAATGTATACGATTACACACTATTCTTCAACAACACTGGTAAATACTTCTTTGAGATGCCAAAAACTTTGACAGCTGCGAAATTTGATTATATGTTCGATAAAAGGGAAGACCATTTATATAAATATATTAACACTGGATTTATGACTCTTTAAAATTGGATAGGTATTTATTTTTATATTAATAGAAATGGTTTTAGATAATTAATGATTTTTTTATTTAAATTAAATAGATAACATGATATTTTAAATTGAAAGTGGAGACCAAAATTCATCAATCACTGTTGAACTAAGCTCTATGAAGATTATTAAGCATGGGCAGGATGATTTGGCAGAGAAAATGTAGGGAAGATTTGCTACATACATAGTGCTTCCTATGATTATTGTTTATTTAAGAATGACATATGGCCTGCTAATAGAAAAAGAAAAAAGAATTAGAGAAGGCATGAAGGTGATGGGAATGTCTGATACCAGTTTTTACTTAGCATGGATTATTCACTATTTAATAATTTATGCTTTATGCAGTCTTTTTGCTGTAATAATTCTTAAGACTGCTATATTCAAAGAAAGCGATTTTTCTGTCCTTTTTGTTTGGCATTTCTTGTTTGGAATAACTCTGATTTTCTAAAGCTTGTTTATCACTACTTTCTTTACCAGAGCTAAGATTGGAAATATTATTGGCATGGTTTTCTTTTTGCTTTAGTACATGGTCATTTTTGTTATCAGATAGTAGGATGATGTCACTAAGTCTATGAAAAATGGGGTCTCTATTCTTTCTCATACTGGTACCACTCTTGCTTGCGATGTATATTTGCTGATAGAGAGCTAATAGAAGGGTATCACATGGAGCAATTTAGACTTTTAAATTGAAAATTACTCAGTATTGACTAACTTCTACATGAACATCATCAATATAATTATATTTTTTGTTCTTTCTATCTACTTAGATTAAGTCTTTCCTAATGAATTCGGTAAAAAATAACACCCTCTCTTTTTTATTAGGTGGATTTGGAAAAGATAAAAAAGTCAATCTAGTATCAAACCAGAAGTTCTAAGTAATGATACAGAAAATTTAATAGATTTAAAAGAAAATTTTGAAGAAGAAGTTGCAATGAATTTGAAAGAATAAGAAAGAGATAATCAAGTCCTGAAAGTAAATGATTTATACAAAGTATATCCATCAGGAAAGTCTGCTGTTAATGGAGTCACAATGACGATGTACAAAGACCAGATATTTGCTCTGCTGGGACACAACGGAGCAGGTAAAACTACTACTATTTCTATGTTAACAGGAATGTATGAGTTTACAAGTGGTTCTGCTGTTGTTTTTGGAAAAGATGTACAAAATGAAATGAGAGAAATTCGTACTTTTATGGGTGTTTGTCCTTAGCATGACATCCTTTTTGATGATTTGAGTGTAAAAGAACATCTAGAACTATTCGCATCTTTTAAAGGAATGACTGATAAAAAATTAATTGCAGAAGAAGTTGAAAAGTATATTGCAGATGTTGATTTGGCTGAAAAAAGAAATGAACTTTCTAAAAATCTCTCAGGCGGCTAAAAGCGTAGACTAAGTGTTGCAATCGCCTTCATAGGAGGCAGTAAGCTTATCTATTTGGATGAACCTACAAGCGGAATGGACACTTCCGCTCGTCGTCATATTTGGGATATGCTGAAGAGATACAAGAGCGAAAGAATTATTTGCCTGACAACACATTTTATGGATGAAGCTGATTACCTTGGAGATAGGATAGCTATTATGGCTGAAGGTTAAATCGTTTGCATGGGTAGACCTTTATTTTTAAAGAATAAGTTTGGAGCTGGATATCATCTTACAATTGTCAAGAAAAATCCAACAGATCCTTCTGTTCCTATAATATAATTTGTAAAAAGTGTTATCCCTTCTTCTAAGCTTGTTTCTGATGTCTCTGCAGAAGTTTCTTTTTAATTAAATAACGAAAGTCTACCATAATTTGCTAAGCTCTTTAACGATTTAGATTAGCAATTAGACAAGCTATCTGTTTAATCCTATGGTATTTCAATTACAACTCTTGAAGAAGTGTTTTTGAGGGTGGCACATTTAAAAGATGAAATTAAAGAGAAAAAAAGAAAGCAACTTTAGGAATAAGCCAAGCAAAAAGAAAATAATATCAACAATAAAGCTAACTTAGATAATAAAAAAAATTAGAATTTAGAAATGAGTTTGAGAGAAGGAGAGAATAACAATAACATAAACAATCCTGAAAAGAACTATAAATTACCTAGTGTGGACGAGATTGAATGTGAAAACAAATAGGCTGGGTTACTTGGAGTTGATAATTTTGATTTGAATAATGTCAGGATTACCAAAAAAAGAGAATTGTTTTTCATTCATTTGAAAGCACTAATAATAAAACGTTTGATATACTTTAAGCGCGATATCAGGTCTTTGCTTTGTGAAATAGTCCTTCCATGCATTGTAGTTATTTTTGGACTCAGTTTGGCTTTAGTTTCGTTTTTAAAAGATTAGCCTGGAGTTTTACTAAATTCTTCGCTATATGAAAATAATTTACCAACAATAGTTTCTAGTTCTTCACTCAGCTTTTCATAATAAATAGATTAGATTTTAGATCATTTCCCTCTAAATAATAAAAAATAAAACTTTGAATTTGAAAAGAAATACGATATATCTGATATTAATTAGTGGGATGAGTATAATTTTAGTAAAAGAGGTGTAGACAGAATAGGATCATATTATGTAAAATCTATTACCCCAGATATGCTAAAGTATCAATACATCACAGAATTAAATACAATTGCAAGAGACTCCTCAGGTGTATATGTTAATGCTATGAACCAAGCAATTATAAATAGCTATTTGTAGTACAAAAGCAAAGTAAATAACTAACCTACAGCTAGAAAGATACAAATTAATGCAACATTTTAGCCTTGGCCTCTCACAGAGAAAATCAAAAGCTTAGAAGGAACTGCTGATGGTCTAGTTTCAAGTTTTATATTCTCAATAGGATTCTCATTTATTCCTGCAAGTATAATTACTTTCTGTGTCAAAGAAAGAACTGAGAACATAAAGCATTAACAGCTTGTAAGTGGAGTAGGAATAGTCAGCTATTGGGCTAGCAACATTATTATGGATATGGTTAAGCATATTTTTCCAGCAGCATTTTGCATTTTAATGGTGAAGGTTTATGATATAGATACTTTCATGGATGGTAATACCTTCTCAGCAATAGTCCTTTTGATGTTTTTATATGGATGGAGTGTAATTCCTTTCACTTTTGTGACATCTTTTCTTTTTGGTGATTACGGAAACGCTTAAGTATCAGCTTTCTTTATTAACTTTTTGTGTGGTGGCATTCTACCAACAATAGTAGCCATTTTACGTATCATAGAATCAACTGAAAACTCAGGAATAGCACTCGGATGGATTTTTCGTATCATTCCTTCCTTCAGTTTTGGTTACGGAATACTGAATATAGGAAATAGAGAACTTTACAATATTACTAAAATGAATAAAGAAATTCCATCAGCATACGAGCTTGACATAGCAGGTAAATCTTGAAATCAAAAATTATTTTTAAATGATAATTTTTTTTAATCTTTGTTGATTTAAATTTATTTTTAGATTTTATCCAATAATATTTATTTTTTTAAAATAAATTTTTTTTACTTCAAAGTTGTAGAAATTAAAAATTGAATTTACTTAAAATTATTTTTAAATCTTAGAAAAATTAAAATTTATTTCAATAAATATAAATTGTTATTATTTAAAATAAATCTATATTTAAAGAAATATGAATTTAATTTATTTTTTAAATGAAAAGGAGGAGATATCATTTTGATGTTTGTTGAGGGTATTGTTTATTTGGCTATCCTATTTTTAATTGAATGGGCATAGCATATTGGTTCTATTTCAAGATACTTTTCAAATGAAAACTCAGTTTAATATATACCTAAAGAACAAGATAGCGATGTTTAGAAGGAAATTGATTTAGTTGCATTATCAAAGCCATAAGATTATTCTGTTAGAGTTCAGAATTTACGCAAAGTATTTATCCCAGCTAAGAATAGAATAAAAGTAGCAGTAGATCAAATTTCTTTTGGTATTAAAAATGGAGAATGTTTTACACTTCTAGGAGTCAATGGGGCTGGTAAAACTACAACATTCAAGATTTTATCAGGAGAAATTCATCCTACTTCAGGTAGTTGCCATATAAATGGATACGATGTAGCTACTTAGATTGAATAAGCACGCAGAAATATAGGATATTGCCCTTAATTTGATGCTCTTCTTGAAAATCTTACAGCTTATGAGCATCTCGAGTTGTATGCAGCTATCAAAGGTATTCCATATGACCTTAGAAAGCCTCTTATAAAGCAAAAGATTTAGGAAATGGATTTGATTGATTTTGAAAATAAATTGGCAGGAACTTACAGTGGTGGTAATAAGAGAAAGCTCAGTGTAGCAATTGCTATGCTAGGTAATCCTCCAGTTGTGTTTTTAGATGAACCTTCAACTGGAATGGATCCTGCAGCACGTCGTTTTATGTGGAGTGTCATTTCAAGGATATCCACTCAGCGTCAAAATTCTAGTGTTATTTTAACTACACACTCTATGGAAGAAGCAGAAGCGCTTTCAACTCGTATTGCTATTTAAGTAGAAGGTTAGTTAAAATGTATTGGCACAGTTTAACAAATAAAAAATAAATTCGGAGAAGGATACGAAGTTGAATGTAAATTAAAGTTACCTTCTAATGACTAATTAGTCTAAACACTGAAGACAGATTTTAATTTTGATGGAAAAGAAATTTAAAATATTCACGTATTTCCAAACAACTTGCAAGAAAATTTAGCTAAATTAAATGCTATGGAATATTATGATCTAATTACTAAAAATGAATAATTTGCTTAAATTTATTCAAGAATAAAGTCCTCAATAGGCGTTTCTTTACTAAACTTGTATCAATTCATTTTGTTAGAAAATTTAGGAAGTAACCTTTAGAAATTCATTAAGCAAAATCTTGGCGAATATTCAATTATTGAGCACTTTGATGACTTCTATCGTTTTAGAATCGAATCTAAAATTTCTATTGGAAAAATGTTTGAAAATTTTGAAAACAACAAATAAAATCTAAGTATTCTAAATTACTCAGTTAAATAAGCTTCCATTGAATAAATCTTTAATTTATTTGCATAAAATAAAATCAAAGTAAACTAAAAAGTACATAATCTCCCTGGTAAAAACAATCTTCCTAATGAAGAAGATCCTTAACAATAAAACAGCAATTCAAGTGGATAAAAATCAATAAATATAGATATATTAAAATGAATTTATATTTTCTTTGTTTCATATTGAAATCTTTTAATTTTTATTTTAATAATTTTTTTTAAAAACTAATATTAAAATGTTTTAATTTAAGATAATTGAGCTAACTAGATATTGAAATTCAGCTGACTGGCTTCATCATATCAAGAGGAGTTTCAATAAATTTATACAGAAAAATTAATATTATAAAGTCAGTATTCATGCTTTTTTTTTGTTTCTTTATATCAGAATTAATGATAATTAAATGTACTTATAAATTATCAAATTATCATATTTTTAAATGTAAATTTATCAAATATCAATTTATTTTTACTGATTTAAAATTTTTAAAAATAAAATAAAAATTGAAATAGAAAATCAATTTATTGATAAAAAAATAAAATAACCTGAAAATAAAAATAAACAATTTTTATATTTTATTTTTTTTAATAAAAATATTAAAAATGATCAACTAAGAAAATTAAGGTACCAATAGATTTAATTTAGTGTAATTTAGTTAAATAAAATTATCTTTCACATTTAAAGTAAACTATTTATAGATATGATTATATTGATGAAAGAGACTTATCGTAGTTAGAACCTGTTGTTAAATGTATTCCTACTCTTAGCTCGTTTGAACTTAGATTTAAGTATATTATATCACTTTTAAAATAAAATATATATTAAAAAATATTTTATAGCAATTATAGTAGGATTGGAAAAAAAGGAACCTAAAAAATATCTGAAGCGTTATCTATCTCTCAAAAAATGAATTCATTTAAATTATATCTTAAGTATAAATTCAATTATTAAACCAAAATATTAATTTTGAATTTTTTTTTTTAATACTATTTCTTTTTTTGTAAAAGCTAACTCAGAATAGGAAATGAAGCTATTGAGACACTCTCATAAGGAATATCGAACTGTTTGAATTTATAATCTATTGTTTTAAATCTTCAGTAACAATTAAAAAATTTTTATTTTATTTATTTTTGGTTAATTGCCACTCTTCTTTAAAATAAAAAGTGATAATATGATGAATTGTTAAACTTTTTAAAAATTATGCGAATAAATATCTAAATGCAAATAATTAAGAGCTTTAGATCTAGATGTTAGGTATGATTTAACAAAATTCTTACAAATAAAAGTAATTCAAATTAATTAAATGACAGCAAAAACTACATTTTGAGTAATGAGTAAAGTTCATAAGCTTTATAAATAATCTTTACTATGATTCCAAATTTAAAATTTCTCAGTCTTAATTTGAGGTATAAAAATAAATTTATAAATATTTTAACAAATATATAAAAATTTATTTAAATTAATTTTAAAAGATAAAATAAATTAGAAACAAGTAATAAAACACCTTGCTTGTTTATTTATTTGTATAAATGTATCAACTTAGAATACTTATGCTTAAATTTAGAGTAATTAGTTTAAATCAACTCAAATAATAATTTTTAACTAAGCTTAAATAAAAAATATTAAGAGAAACTGGTATAATTTAAGAAGAAGTTTACTAAATTGGGCATTCAATTTAAGAGATAAAAATATTGAAAGATATTTAGTTATCATTTAACAGTTAACCATACTATTTTAATTCTAAAGCATTGATTGAGAATGGTAATTTAATGAGTTAAAGTTTTTCTAAAGTAGCAGACGGCATTAATAGTTGTAAAAATCTAAGTAGATTAAGTATAGATTTTGGGATTAACCAAACTTATGAAAGTAAATTTTTTTAATAGTCTAAAAAATAGAAGAACTAATTCAAATTTTTAAGATATTAAAAAGCTATGTGAAGGAATTTCAAACTGCAAAGATTTAAAGTCTTTTTCATTTATTTAACAGTAAAAAAGATATATTTTACTTTAATTTAGTTTAGAATTATAATTTTAAATTAGTTAAAAAACAAAATAGAACAATAATTTACTTTTAATCAATATAAATTGAACATATAAATTATTTATTTATCTATAAACTTAGTCTCGAAATAGAATGTTAAGATTAGACAGTTGTTTCTTTGATTAGTAATGCACTCTTAGAATGCAAAAATCTTTCATAGATATTTCTTTCTTTTGTGTAAATTTTTAGATTTATCTAAAAACACAATTTCATATATTTCTCATCCAACATTAAAAACGCATTGATAGTTTTTAATAAAAATTTTTGTCAATAATATGAATTAAATAGTTTTGTGTACTTGATTAAATAAGTATTTAACTATTAATTTAAAAATGCCAAATTTAAACTTTTTATTAAAATTAATTATTTTATTACTATCAAAAAAGTTGCATTAAATTTATAAATTAAGATATAAATATTCTTAGTCAAAGTATATCTTAAAGTAAAAAAGTTTAAAAGCTAAAAATTGTTCTCTCGTAAATATAATTTTAGATTTTTAAAATAAAAATTAATAAAATTTATTGAAATAATAGTAAAAATTAAATTAATTCAGTTGGAATTATCTAACTTTTTCAAGCTATTGCCTAATGTACAAATCTTTTAGAGCTATCCTTAAGTTTATAGTAATAATTAAATATATATATAGAATTGGTAGAGAGAAGGGATGGTAAGAGATTTTTCTATTCCTTAAAATACCTTTGTTTGTATTTCCAAATTTTTCTATATACTTTGAATATTTTAATAAATTTGAATCAAAATTTACAAAATAAGGTATTTAAATCTATTTATAAATTATCAAACAAACTATAATATTTTTAAAGATAATTTTATCAAACACCAATTTATTTTTTCTGCTTTACAATTTTTAACAATAAAATTGAAATAGAAAATATCATAAATGATCAGCTAATAAAACTCAGGTCCAAATAGATTTAATTTAGTGTAATTTAGTTAAATAAAATTATCTTTTGTATTTAAACTAAACTATTAATAGATATGATTATATTGATGAAAGAGACTTATCGTTGTTAGAACCAGTTGTTAAATGTATTCCTACTCTTAGCTCTTTTGAACTTAGATTTCAGTATATTATATCACTTTTAAAATAAAATATATATTAAAAAATATTTTATAGCAATTATAGTAGGATCGGAAAAAAAGGAACCTAAAAAATATCTGAAGCATTATCTATCTCTCAAAAAATGAATTCATTTAAATTATATCTTAAGTATAAATTCAATTATTAAACCAAAATATTATTATAAATTTTTTTATTATTTTATTTCTTTTTTTATAAAAGCAAGCTTAGAATTGGAAATGAAGCAATTGTGAATCTCTCATAAGGAATATCGAACTGTTTGAATTTATAATCTATTGTTTTAAATCTACAGTTATAATTTAAAATTTTTTTTTTGGTTCATATTCACCTATCTATAAAATAAAAAGTGATAACATGATGAATTGCTTGAGTTTTTAAAAATTATGCGAATAAATAGCTAAATGCGAGCAATTAAAAGCTTTAGATCTAGATGTTAGGTATGATTTAACAAAATTCTTACAAATAAAAGTAATTCAAATTAATTAAATGATAGCTAAAACTACATTTTGAGTAATGAATAAAGTTCATAAGCTTTATAAATAATCTTTACTATGATTCCAAATTTAAAATTTCTCAGCCTTAACTTGAGGTATAAAATAAATATAAAAATCAATAAGTAAATATATAAAAATTTATTTAAATTAATTTTAAAAGCAACAATTAATTAGAAACAAATAATAAAACACCTTGCTTGTTTATTTATTTGTATAAATGTATCAACTTAGAATACCTATGCTTAAATTTAGAGTAATTAGTTTAAATCAACTCAAATAATAATTTTTAACTAAGTTTAAATAAAAATTATTAAGAAAAACTGGTATAATTTAAGAAGAAGTTTACTAAATTGGGCATTCAATTTAAGAGATAAAAATATTGAAAGATATTTAGTTATAATTTTAGAAGTAATATTGCTATTATAATCCTATAGCATCAAGTGAGATTAATAATTTGATGAGTTCAAGTTTTTCTAAAGTAGCAGATGGTATTAATAGTTGTAAAAATCTAAGTAGATTATATATAAATTTTGGAATTAACGAAACATATGAAAGTAAAATTTTTAATAGTCTAAAAAATAAAAGAACTAATTCTAAATTTTAAGATATTAAAAAGCTATGTGAAGGAATTTCAAATTGCAAAGATTTAAAGTCTCTTTCATTTTTTTCAAAGTAAAAAAGCTATTTTTAAATTTCATTTAGTTTAGAATAATAATTTTAAATTAGATTTAGTTTAGAATTATTATTACAATTACAATTTTAAATTTGTTAAAAAATGCTCCAAACAAACAAAAAAGAAAAATAAATTAACTTTTAAGCAACATAAAATTGAACAAATAAATTTATCTAATTTTATTTTTAAACTTAGTAATGAAGTAAAATGTTCAGATCAGACAGTTGTTACTTTGATTAGTAATGCACTCTCAGAATGCAAAAATCTTTCATAGATATTTCTTTCTTTTGTGTAAATTTCTAGATTTTGATTAAAAAATAATTTCATTTATTTCACATTCAGCATTAAAAATGTATTGATTAGTTTTTAATAAAAAATGTTTTCAATTTTTTTAATTAAACAGTTTTTTCTCTTTACTTAAAATAAGTATTTAACTTTAAAAAAAGAAATTTTAAATTTAATCTTTATTTATTAAAATTAATTGTTTTTATTTCTATTAAAAAAGTTGGACTAAATTTACTAATTAAGATATAAATATTCTTTGTCAAAGTATATCTTAAAGTAAAAAAGTTTAAAAACTAAAAATTGTTCTCACGTAAATAAAATTTTTGATTTTTAGAATAAAAATATAAAATTTATTTGAAATAATAGTGAAAGCTAAACTAATTCAGCTGGAATTATCTAACTTTTTCAAGCTATTGCCTAATGTACAAACATTTCAGATCTATCCTTTAGTTTCTTGTAATAATTAAATATATATTAAGAATAGTTAGAGAGAAGGGATGGTAAGAAATTTTTCTATCCCTTAAAATATCTTTGTATTTTACTAATAAGAGAAATAAAGCTTTGATTAAAACCCTACTAATTAATTATCACCCCTCCCTCTTCTGTCTTTTTATTTGAAAAATTAGTTAAAATTATTTATTTGTTAAAGTTAAAATTATAGAGAAGATACTGATTTAAGCGAGTTAATAAATACAATAAATAAATTGGAGAATCTGATAAGCTTAGAACTACGCACCACGTAACCGAAACTTTATGTCTTAAAACTTTATTTATTTTTATATAATAAATATAAGAACTCATTTTTCTTCCCTCTTGAACTTTGCTCAAAAAATAAGAATGTGTGGCAACTTAAAAAAGATTAGTCTATCGCTCTAGTTGTTCTAGTAAATTATTTATTATAATTTGTTATTTTAAATGAGATAAAAAAATACATAATTTGTTTAATTATTCTATTTTTTAATTTGATGTATTTGGTTAACATTTAATAATCTCATATACTTTGCTGTATTTGAATATTTAAAAACTCAAAAGAAATCAGAAATATTAGTTTTTATTTAGTTAGATTTTATAAATTTTATTAAAATTTTTTTAGAGTTAAATAAATTTATTTTAATAAAATAGATCTAAAATTATCGTTTCAATGATTAAAAAGTCAAAATATTTGGTTTGCCTTTCTCAATTTTGAATAATGCATAAGAAAATATTTCAAAGATATATATTCTACTAGTCTTGGTTGAAAAATAAATTTTTTATATATTTTCTTTTCTACTTTGTTTGTTTTAATTCATGAAATATATTTTGTAAATGTAATATTTTTAATAAATAAAGAAACAATTTTTTTACTTTTATAATATTTAAATATGAATTCATTGAATTAATGGATGAATTAAATCTAATTTAGTTTTAATCTTTTTAATAAAACATACAAAAAATAATTTTACTGCTAATAAATTTTGTTTATAAATTGATATTGATGTATTTAAGTAAAATTTTTTTTTTTAGTAAATATGAAAAATATTATTTAACTTTTAAAAATTTATTATTTATCAATTAAATAATTGTTTATTATAAAGTTTGCAATTAATTTACAAATTAAAAATTGAAATTTTAAACACATAAAAACATCGTTTATAAAAAACTATTTAAATAAAAATGATTTAATAAAATAAAATCACTACTTTTGAATGCCTAGAAGATGTAATTAATTGATTTATTCTCTATTATTTAAACATTTTTTTATCTTAAAAGTTTTTAAGCTCTTCTCTTTAATCTCATGAAGACCTTTTAATCCATTTAAGGTAAGATATTGAAAATTTATTTTTGATAATTAAAATTATGTTAAAAAAATTAATTAATTATTGTTTTTTTTATTCAAATAAAAAATTATAATTTTTGAATAATAAAACAATATATTATAAACCCTCTTATTAATTAACATAAAATTTTATATTTTTTTTCTTAAAATTTTAAAAAAAGGTAAATATTTTTTGAGAAAAGTAGGTGAGAGAGGTTACCTAAATTAATGAGGATTTATAATAATAAAAAATTTATATCTAAATATTTTACTTAACTATTATTAAACAATCACTTTTAGAATTAATTTTTTATTTAAATTTCATATACATTTTGCAACTTTTAAAGCAAAATTATACTATATAGAGCACTCTTTCTATGAATAATAATTATTTATAAAACATTAATATAAAGATCAAACAAAATCGGCGATACAGGTGCATAAAAATTAGGTAGTGCTTTATAGAAATGCACTAAACTAAAGCATTTACAGCTTTTTCTTCAGTAAAAATTAATTAACTATTAATTTATTTTTCTTTTATTACAAAATATGTATTTAGGTTAATAGAATAATTATGAAAATTTAAAATATTTATTGTAACTTTTTTTTGATTTCAATTATTTTATATGTTCTATGTTTTACCAATTATTTAATTTCTGCTTTTAGATATCAAGTACAATTTATTTTTAACAAAAGGTACAATGAAATTTCTAAAATAGGTGCATAAATTTTAGGTGAAGGCCTTGCAACTTGCTCTTTTCTCACTAAATTGATTTTCTATTTTTCGTATATATAGCAATTTCTTTTTACTTTTAATTTTATAAAAATTTTCAAAAAAGCTTTCAAATTTAAATACTATTTTCAATTATTTATTAATTTTTTTTTAAAGTTGATGTTTTTCTAATATTCAAATATCATAAATATTTTTCTAGTTGAAGCTTTATAAATAACTAATTAATATATTAAAATTAATAGATATAATACAGTAGAATCACAAGGTGCAATCTCACTAGGTTAATCTTTAGCTAAATGTGCTAATCTTAAAACTTTAACGTTTTGGATTTAGTAAATCTTTTTTTATTAATTTATTTATTTTTCTAATTTCATTAAATGCTTGGTTATTCAAAGTTTAAGCAGAGTTAAATATTTATTCTTTTATAATTTTTTATTAAAAAATATGCTTCATTTGTTTCTGATTAACAAAAAGATGTAATGAAATAGATGGATAGGGTGCATTAGATTTTGGTTCGGCTTTAGCAAATTGTGCTAATCTGTAAATTTTAGTTTTAAATATCAAGTAAAAATTATTTATATAACTTATGATAATTATTCAACTTTTTGATTTATTATTTATTTTTAAACAAAATTTATCTCAATTCAAGGAATTAAAATTATTTCTTTTTTAAAGAGGAATAACTTAACTTTTTTAAGATAAATTTTACTTTTTTTAGAAAATATGATTAATAAATTTATTTATTTATAAAAAGTGGCAATAATACTCAAAAAGAAGATAGAAAAAAGTTAATATTTAAACTCAAAAAAATGAAGAGACTTGTTAAGTTATCTTTCTGAATATGTATGTTGTGATAGAATATTATTTATGTATTGCTATATTTTATATAAGATGGTAAAAGGTCAGTTAATTTTCTCAAATTTATCTAATTTTTTTATTTTCATATGAGCATTTAAATTTAAATCAAAATTTTATAGATTTTAAATTTTATAAAAGAAAATTGATCATACATTTATTTTTTTAATATAAAATTTTTTTTAATATATGACTAATAAATAATTTTCATATTCATTTAATTTCAACTATTTTTTTAGATTATTTAATTAAAATTCTACTTTTAGTAAAAGTTGTTCCATCAAATTTAAAATGTAAACTTATAAGGTTTGGCAGTTCTCTGATTGAATTTATAAGCTACGAATGAATTAATTACTTTACTTAATTGCGTTGTTAAATCGAAGACACTATAGAATATTTTGATACCAAAATAAAAATTTAAAGAGATATTTCTTTTAGTTCTTTAAGTGATTTAAAAGCATTTAATAATCTTTCTAAGCTTTTAGTTGAGTTAAATGTTGGCAAAAATCTTAATTTTATAAAATTAAGATTGGAAAGATTTGATAAGCTATCCCCTAAGCTCTCAAGAGATTATTCATTTATTTGGTCATCAATTTGAAGTTCTAAATTTTACAGCTAATTTGATAAACTTAAAAATTCATATAAAAAGTTGTTTTAGATCTGGTGATGCTATGATTTTATTTTCAGTATCAGCTTTTAGAGATTAGTGATTCTTGCTAAAGATTTACCAATAAAATTATATCCATCTGCTTGCATTTTGTTATTGCAGATACAAAGCTATAAAGATTATAATCTTGTTAATCCTAAAAATAAATTACCTTAAACAGGGCTAAATAAAGTTACTCTTTGATTTTACTAAATAGAGTTAATTTCTACAATTAATTCCTAAATATTCAAATGACCCTAAAGAGTATTACCTATAATACAAGCAGATTCATTATCTATATTTTAGCCTGATATGATATAATTAAATTTTACTAAATTAATCAATTCTCTTGTACATTATTATACTTTATAAAATAATTCTTACTAAATATTAGCTTAGCCAAAGACATCTATACTTAATTATTATAAATTTGTTATTTTAGATATCGTTTAAAACAGATCAACAATCCCATCATCAATAAAATATTTTTCTTTTTCTATTTTTAAACAAAGACCTTCTAATCTATCTAAGCTAAGAAGAGATTCACCTAGCTTAACTAAGTATTAATTATTTTCTTTTGTTTATTAAAACCTCAAAGAAAGCTACTTCAGATTTCTAGCATAATTAATTATTTAAATTGCATTTATAATGTCACTGCCTTCGTTATTATTACACTATAAACAGCAAATGCTAATTTTTTAGATATCTTTTTAATTCGTGAAGATTTATTTGAAAAATAACTAAATTTATTCTTTTTCAAAACATTTTTGGATTGTAATATCTAGTTCATTTAGTTTTTATTATTTATTAATAGATTATCCTATTAGAATTAACTCTTCTTAACCTAATTCATCTAATTCGTTTATATTAAGAATATATTTAATAGCATTTGGAAACAAGTATTGAGCAAGTTAAAAATAATTAAGTTAAGATTATTCTTTAAATTATATTTATGCTTGTATTGTTTCAATATGTATTAATTATTCATAAAATAAATTAAAATGGTAATCTTCATTTCTCTTTTCAACAATCTAACTTTTGTAGTTTTATAAAAATACTAAAAGCTTTTTTTAATTAAAATAAATGAAGAAATCTTAATCAGCCTAGTTAATTTTAACTTTTATATTATCATACATTTTTGTATTCTATTTTTATTTAATAGCTTTATCTGTAGGAAAATTTAATTAATTTAAATGAAATCTATAATGAAAATTTATTTAAAATACTAAATTAATTATTTCTTGATAAACCTATGAAATTCAAAAAAGTAAATTTTAAATTTATTTTTATAAAATAAACAAAAATATATAAAAATTGATAATTTTATAAAGACATTTTGCAATTTATTTTATTTATTTATTATTATATTTTTAATTCACTCAAATAATTCAAAAATGATATCAGCTGTTGTTATTTTAAAAATAAAATGATCAACTTTTAACCCTTTGTTAATTAATTTTTTAGTGATTAAAAATTTGCAAAGAGATAAAACAGTTTAAATGATTGCTGTATTAACTAGAAAAGTGCAAACAAAACTAAGTATAAACATATTAGCTTCATAAGGTTAGGAGTTAAAGAGAGAAACTATAGTAAAATAATAAGAGAGTAATAAAAATGATGAGTAAATGATATAGCATGCAACTCTTCCTCTTTTCAGCTTAGAGAGGAGCTCTGTCAAAGAACTGTAAATTCCAAAAGTGGCAGAAGAGAAAATAGATAAAATTATAACCTGAGATGCTGAAATTTCAGATCCAAACGTAGTATTTATTGCCATGGTCCACATTATATTACTATAAAAAATGATAATCCTATAAAATCTTGATTGCTTTTTATTGTATATGTAAAAGATTTGAAGAAGAAAATGAAATACGGCAATTCCTTTGTAAACAGAAACACTATTCATGTAATTAGTTGATCTCTCTTTCTATCTTTATTAATTCGAAGTTTCATCAAAATGGCTAATGGTAGAAGCACTTTCTTTGTTTGCTTCATTGTTATTTGCTTAGCTTATTAGCATTTAAGGTGAGCTGTCTATGATTTCTCCATGTTTATTATTTAATTATGTTTCTTGGCTTTGAGCTATTTGAGTATCTACATTATGAGGAACACCTTTCAAAGTAGGAGTGTTTTCAACAGAATTAAAATTCAATTTTTGATTATAAGGTTAATGAAATTACGCTAATTTACTTTTCCTGTTTATAATATTGTTTTTGCTTCTTTTAGAGTTTTTATTCGAATTCATATTTAAGATGCTGTTTACTGAAAAATTATCCTAAAACATATAGTCTACTTTAGGATGTGTTGCTTAGCTGCTAACATTTTTCTCATGATCAACTTTATTTAAATCTAAGGCTAGCATATTATTTTCTATGTTGAATTGCTTAATATTATCTAACTAAGGTGTACCTACACTTTTTTAGCAATATTCACTCATATGCAAAACGCTTTCAACTTAATCTTTTTGTTGTTCACTAAAATTAATTCTGTTATCTTATTTGGCATTAGGTTTCTTTTCGATTTGATCTTATAGTTGAATGACATCAAAATCATCTTCTTGTTTTTAATCTGAATTCATTTACAGATTCTTTTGAATATTTCCTAATACCTATTAGTTAATAACACATTTTCGTAAATCATCATCTTTAATGCTGCTTCTGCCTTTTTTTTATTTCTCTTCAATGCTTATTGGTTAAACTCTGTTTGCTACACTTTAAACAAAATTCATTGCTAACACATCGCCTCCTATCTACAAAGAAATTTTATCTATTTTAACTGCTGCAAATATTGATACTGCCATCACTATATTAGTTGTCATAATTACATAAACGGCAGCATACTCATACCAATTTTTTTTCTCAACTATCGAGATGATGCCTTTTGTGCTCAATGCTTCTTAGAGATTTTTATTTTAGGTAAACAATTATTCTGCATCAGTAATAAGTGTGGTATAGCTTGGAGAAGTGCATTGACATTAAATTGCAAAAGTTCCATCAGTATTATTCTGTTTAGTTGTGGAGCAAGTAGAATTACTCCATTTATCTGATATTCTTTGGAGACATTTTACTTATCCTGTTCCTTAGACAGAGTCAAAATTATATTACAATCCTGTATTTTAAGGAAGGACTAAATTTGCTTACTTTAATACAATCAGCATTCTTCTTCTATTCTGAACAGCTTCATTCATATTTGAATAATATTGTGGTTCAATAGCAGGAAACACTCTTTGCAATTCTAACTTTTATGCTGCTGTTGCGTTACTAAGATAAGGTTAATTTATCGCAGTATATGAAGGTTCAAGGGCGTAAACATTTGATTTCCAAAATTAAAGCAAGACATCATAAATCGCATTAGGGTCAAAGGTTGTTGTCGGAGTTACTCCTTAGTTAACAAGATAATTTTAAATCAAATACTAACTATCAACTCTTTACATTGTTAAATTAACATAACTTGAATTCCAAACAACTATTTACTAATTAACATTTAGAGATTAAGAAATCAATAACTAAGCAGTGGCTAAGCTATTTACTTACAAATCTCCAAAATATGTTATATTATTTTAAGGAGGTTGATTATATATTGCTGTTAACGTTGTGTTCAAAATACTTAATGAAGCAAACATTTGTTGAATAAACGTGAATTTAGCTGATTGTTAGAAATCACCTAGTAGTTATACTTTTTCACGTTTAGACCTAGACGTAGTATAAACATCGTTTACCCTATTAACCAAATTATCGCTATCAGGAGCATGTAAGGTTTAATAAAGTTTGCTTAAGCACCTAAATATGAATTCCTGTAGATTAAAATTTTGAATATTAGATGGAAGTTCTAAAGGTAACGCCAAGGTTTAATTTTTAATATCTTATTTAGCTGCAATAATTAATTAGCTAGGAGTTTGGGTGGGATTTAATCCTTCGTAATTTATAAAAGCTTCTATAGTTATACCAATATTTATAAGCTCTGCTTAGTACTGCTGGGTTGCATTATAATTATCAATTAAAGTTTACTATTATAAGATAAATGCTTCATATTAATCTTAAGTAAATCCTGGATTTGCCAATTTAAGTCTGACTACGGATGTAAAAATTCCTTTGTGAGAATCCATAACATCAACGTACATTTAGATATATAGATTTCCTGGAGGTAAAATGGTTGTTATAGTATTTTAAGTTTAGAAGTTACTTAGATATCTTCTTGAGAACGATTTTGGAATCTGAGTTTATTCACTTTCCTATTTTTGTTCTTTATCAGAGAGATAGTAGTAAAATTAATAGTAGAGAACTCCATCTTAGTATTGAGATTAACAACCATTAATGGTAAAAGTAATCTAACTTGAAAATGCAATTTCTCCTCCGACTGCACTGCTTTCCAAATTAAGGCAATTTATAGGAACGGGAAGTGTTTTGAATACATACTTTTTACTTAGTCCTATTTGGTTTTTATTAGAATCATCAACAAAAAAGTTGAGTTAGACAAAAGAAGGATTATTAGGCATGTATTATGCCCATGTGAAATAAAATTATGGATAGCTTTAAACTGTCGAGTTCTTCTATACCATGTGAGTATTGCCTATACTATCCTTATACCAGTAAGTTATTGTAAAATAGTGAGAGTTAGTAATTCTATTAAATTAATTTTAAGCAGGATAAATTTCTGTAAAAGAAAAAAGATCTTAGTTATTTAACCCATAAAGGTCATAATCTTGAAGATAGATAACTTGCATATTTGAATCAAGCATGGAAATAAGACGCACTGCATAGTAATGAAAAGAGCTATCAGAGTTACTTTACAAATCAAACTCCATAATATACGTTTCAGATACATTAAAAAAGTTTTGAGTGAAAGGTAAAGTTAAGCTGTTTGTTTAATCAGAGTTATAAATGAATTTTTATGAGCTTGTAGAAAAAATATTCCAATTTTAGAAAGTTTAAGAGCTACTTGAAGGTAGGATATTTGATTTGAAAGTTAAGCTTTAAGAAGGGTTAAGGTTCAATAATTTATCTCCTTAAATGTATGCATAAAGTGCAGGATTGTATTTCACAACAATATTTTGGATAATTGTTTGAAAAGAAAGCTAAGAGTTCTGAACGTAAGTTAATGTTATTGCTAATTAATATGTCTTTTATGTCAGAAAAGGTGTGGGAGTTATTAACAGAGGGAAGATGTTAGTTCCGCTAACTGTAATTTAAGGGTTAGTATAAATTGTTTATCCAGCTTGATCTTGGATTTATGCATTTAAGTAGAACTAATCTTATTAATTAATAATAAAATAGTTTGACTGCAAAACTTACTTTGTATAAATGTATGTAGGAAGATAGTAAGCGCTTAAATAATTCCCTACAGGTGCTGCCATGCTTACTGACACATCGTATTGCTAAACCTTTATTATAGTAACTGTGTTTGTTGATTAGATACCAAATGGAAGATTGCAAACAAAAGTGAAGACATATGTTTGCTGTAAGTTTTACTCAGAGAAAGTATTACTATTTAAAGTAAAGGTCATATCATTAGGGTACATTTAAAGACCACTCAGAATACTTTACTATTCTGTTGCGTCTTAGGAAGTAGTAGATAACAATTAAAAAGTTGCTGTTGTTCCGCTAAAACCATTTACTATTAAATCTGTCATTGGTATTGTAACTGATCCTGGCTAAAATCTATATTGATTCATTCTAAAACTACACTGAGGAGCAGGTAACTAATTTAAATAAAAGTATATATTTTATGTAGAACTTGTATACTAGAGAGTGATATTATTTGCTAGCTAAATAGTTGAATTAAGGTTAATATATAGATTATTAACAGAAAACTCAGGTATTATTTGATGCATGTTATCAGACACAATTGAGCTTTGTATATTTATTACGAATAAGTTATTTTGATCAGGGTCAACTCTGCAAGTCATCGTATTTTAGATGGTTGTATAGGAAGCAATATTAGAAAGAACCCCACAATTATTAGTATTGAATTAGTACATTGTTTAGTCATTTTAATTATTAGTTGTAAGTATCGATACGCTAAATTTGCTTACTATAAATCCCCCTAATTAATAGTAAGAATAATAATACAAATTGGCTGATGATGATGTACACCAATTACTAACACCAAAGAGAGGTGGAAAGCATATACAAAATTTACTGGAGATTACTTTAAATCCACTATAGCAAAAGTAAGGACTTTTCAAATTGTTGCAATCTAAAGTTCCAGGCTAGCACCTTATGCATACACCTCCAGTATAGCTATATCCTTTAGGGCAAGAACTGCAATCAGGAAGGCTTAATAGATCTTTACATCTTCTGCAAACATTAGGATACAACGGATCATAATCTAAGCAGTTTTATTACTATTGAATGATTCTGTTTTATGCTAGCTATTAAAATTGATTCGCTTCAGAAATAAACTAACTTAAACAACATAACACTATTTAGCTTGCAAGTAAGGTTATAGATATCAAATTCATCTAACTTGATTGTAAATTTAAAAACTTTTTTTATTCTTTTAATAAATTAATTAACTTATTTATTTGTTGCTCTCGAAAATAGCCGAGGACTTATTTATATATTTTTTGTTTATTTATAGAAGGAATTCTGTAAATTTTGTTTTATAAAAAAACTTCCTATTTATTTTTCAATAAATTTTTTTATTTATTTATTTACTTACTTATATACTTACAAAAGCAAATTGATTGTATTGCTTTGATTTATAGTTTCTTGAATAGATACGCTCAGCCATAAGCAAATTTTATATAAAATTACAATTGATTATTTTATTGTAAGAAGCTATGGGTAATGTTTGTTTAATAATTTACTTGGGTATTTATTTAAAAATATAAACTTTATGACTAATATTTTTAAAAGAAAAACAAATTTTCAAAAAAATAAATAAATAAAAATGATATTACTAATATTCTTTAAATATAAATTAATTAACTTATCTGATTTATTATTATTTGAGAGACACTTTGATTGACTTATGAATTCTTTTACATTTTCTTCTATCATAATAAATTTTTTATATTTAAACCTATAAATTTTATATAGAAAAGAGCAAATAATATTTATTAACTATTGACTTTAATATTAATTAATCTTGATCAATAATAATAATTAGTTGCAAACCTTTTTTTAGATTAGTTAGAATCAATATATATTTTGGAATAGTAATTTAATCAAACATCTTAGATCACAAAATCCAAAAATTAATTCCCTTTCTTTATTTATAAATATAAAGTAATAGGCATAAATATTAAATCCTTAACTCTAAATATCCATTTACAAAAATACATGAAAAAATTAAGGATAAATGAATTTTTTAAATATTGTTTATTTAAAATAAATGAATTTTATATGATTTATAAAATAAAGTATTAATTATTTTAAACAAAATAAAGTATCATATTTATGTAATTTTTTTAAAATGTTCTAAAAGATTATTATTTTAATTTAATTAAAAATTGTTAAGAATTTAAAGTGAAATATTTTATTATGTATAAATTCGTAAATTTTTTTTTATTTTTTAAAAAATGGTTTTTTGTTTCTTTTAAAAAGTAATTTTTAAATTAATAAATAACTAAATTCGAGCAATTGAGATAATTCTAATTAATTTGAATTGTTGGTTTTCATTATTATTAAAATAAATATTTTTAAATTAATTTGAAAGTATTTTAATTTATTTTAATAACTTACTTTTTTTAAAAATAATTTATTTTAACTCATTTTAACTAATATTTATAAAAGCAGTTTTCATCTAAATTTATGAAAAAAATGTATGTGAATGAACTCTGTATATTATGGAATCAATCAAATTCAAAAAAAGAATTTAATATAAAGAAAAAAAATTTTTAGGTTAATAAATAATGATCAAGCTAGAATTTGATAATCTTTGAATAGATATTTATTGATATTATTTAAGAAATTAGAATAGAAAGAAGATATATAAATAGATATATAGAGATAGATAGATACTTTTCAATTTTAATAGAAGAAAAAAATGAGGAAACAATTGGAAAATTAAGGAAATACTATTAAAGTCAAAGTTAATTTTTTGGGGAAAGTGATGTGTGCTACTCTTACAATATGGAGTAATCTAACTTTCCTGTTGTTTGCTTTATTTTTCATCAACTTTTAGAGAGATATTCCTTTGTATCTGAATATTAATCTTCATGTTAATGGATTATTCAATTTATGTGATGCAGTAGGTTTAGCTTGTGATCGTTATGAGCTAAAATCTATAGCAATTAGCTGTTTGTTTAACATTTTTCTCATTCTTACTTTTTGGATATAGCATGTTTTGATGGCAAAACTTTCTTTTAAGCTAAGAGTTAGCTAAATATTTCCAGAATATCTTATTATTGAGAGACCTATGTATAATTTAGCTTCTTAATTTATTTATATAGTATCTTTTAGCCTGTGGTAGCCCACGGATTTGGTACTTTATAATTTCTCTCAAGAAAATATTATCATAGATATTATTGCATTTGTTGGTGTTCTAATCTTCTTAAAAAGTGTTTACGACCTTAATGAAGTAGCAGATTTGACTGGTTTTATCTTTATGAAAAGAGTTTTTTCAAGCAAAGAAATTCAATTTAATCAAAAGTACTTACCTCAAGATAATTCAGATGCAATAAAAGTATCACGAATTTATAGAATGTGTAGACATCCTATGCAATTTGGCACATGTCTAATTATCTTGTTTGGAGGAAAATTTTGGAGTATTAGTAGGATCATCTATACTTTAGGCTTAATAGCTGGAATAAATATTGGAATATCATACGAGGAGTCTAAGCTCGAAAATCTTTATGATTCTTATAAGAAGTATAAAGAAGAGATCCCTTTCAGATTGATTCCTAATATATTTAATTTATTTAAAAATAGTAATAGCAACACTGATCAAACTGAAAAATTTACTAACTTAAAATAAGAAAAGGCTGATTGACAAAGTAATTGGTATAAAAATGATTGAAACCTAATAAAGCCATTAATTAATCAAAGTTAGTAGTGATTTTTTAAAAATCTTATTTAAATTTTATAAAATTTTAGTTAAATAAAATCATTTATATTATTTCTTTGTGTATTGTTTTAATAAATTTTAGATTATAAATAAACAAAATTCATATCTCTAAAATTAAAACTATTATAAAACTAAAATGAAGAAAATTTCAATAAATCAAATAAAATCAGTGATTTAACTTATAAAAAGTTTTCTCATTCATTATCGTATCTTATTCTTTTTGAATTATTACAAACAACTAAACTCTTAATTTACTGTTAATAAATGCAAACAGATAAATAAATAAATAAATAAATAAATAAATAAATAAATAAATAAATAAATAAATAAATAAATAGATAGATAGATAGACTAGCCTTATTATTTTGAATCAAGTATTAAAAAATAATTTACTGTAAATCCTCATTAATTAATTAATACCTGTCCCATACTCATTTTTTCCAAAGTTTTATTTTTTGAATATGGAAGAAAAAAATTATCCAGAATATTTACCATTATTTATTCAAGAATATATACAATAGTTAGATTTTATTGTATAAATAGAAATATATTATTTAATAGCTTTGACTTGGTTCTAAAAGTAAAATTTAAAATTACTATCTTTAATTTATTTAATTAGATATAAAAAATATTATTTTAAAAAAAATCTAATTATTTTAAAGATTTTTGTAGACATTTTTGATCAAAATATTTGCTCTTTAACTACTACTCTAATTAATTCTTTATATTATAGACAGACAGATAGATAGATATTAAAATTTTATTAATAGAATTATATAAATGTAAGTGATTTTGAAATAAATTTGATTGAGTTTGATAAAAAAATTAATTTCTGAGATAATGACATTTGAATTAATTTGATATTTTTATAGACTTTCATATTAATTCTTTTGAGGTAATAGAAATAGCATTTTGACTAAAAATATATTTTTGATCAAATAAACATTTCAAGCATTAGTTTAAAATTTTGTAGTCTTTTGAAATATATTTTTAGGATATTTCTGATACCTTAAAAAAACATATATCAAAATCAATGTTTTTTTTATATTTTATTTGCGATTTTATTTTTTGTTAAATTTAGATTTTTCTTATGCTTTTATATTACAATGGGTCTTAACAAGTTATTTAATCTGTAAGGGAGTTAGCAAATAATTTGGTATTTTAGTTTGGAATTTTTTGACATCAAAATTAGAAATTTATACTGATGGCTTATTAATTAGAGATATAATTTAATACTGTTCGGATGCGTTATTAAGCATAAGAAATAATTAGAAGTAGAACCAAAATATTTATGCAAATGACAAAATAGTATGTATTAAAAATAGAAAGTAAAATATTCATTTTTTTCTAGGATATTTATTTACTTATACATCGTTATAGCAATAATCAAAACTACTATGACAGAGATGAAAATCAAAAATGGGTAATTCATTAATTATTTAGTGTGCCACTATTACAACCAATATACACTTATGAAAAAAAACAGTTTGTTAGAAATTTTAATAAAAAAGGAGGTATGCTGAATTTTAAATGTTTAAAATGTTAAAGAAACTATATATGAGGTACATTAGTATCATATATTGCCTTTACACTTATTTTTATGAGAAAGAAAATTAAACATGTGGTTAAAATTAAAAAAATTTTGATTTTAGCTATTATAAAAGATAGTTTTTATAATTTGAAAACAATGAGAAGTTTGTTTATATGCAGGAATTAAGCATGAAAGAATTCATATATTATAAACTTGATAATATATATATTCATAAAAAATAGATAGTATATCAATAAATTTAAAAAAGAAATTAATTAAAATTAAAAGGTCAATCGCTATTTAGCTTGATTTACTTGATAATTTGTTTTCTTTGTTAATTAATTTATTAACAATTCACCACTAATAAAACACTGGAATAGCCAAGGAAAAAGTGAATAGATTAAATTCTTTTGTAATTTGTAAAAAAGAAGATTATAAATTCGACAATTAGTTTAAGCAATAAGCAAAAAGAAAGATAATATATTGATAGAACTTAGAATACTTTTTTAGATTCGTTTGAAAACAAGATAAACAAAACCAAGCTTGATAAATACATAGATAGATGCTCTAAAAGTTGAGAAACAGAATTTTCGGAGACGAAAATATAAACCATAACCATAGCTAGAGTAGCAGCCAAGATTCCTAAAAGGATAAAGCTTCCCCTTAGTCTAACAAAAATAGTCAGTCATAAAAGATAAATAACACGAAGGGAGTTTTGGAAGAGCACACTGGAGCTGCCAACGACAGATTATCATCTAAAAGTCATCCTAAATTGAAATATAAACATTCTCTCAAAGTAGAAGACTCTCTTGATAAAATTAATATCCATCGCGTTTACAATAAAAAAGAAGATTTCACTCCAATTGGCCAAAGTATTACTAATAATTAGTATTAAAATCATTAAGAATAAGAGGATTAAATTTTCACTTAATTTGGAAAGATGTTGAATGAAAACATTATAGATTATAGGACTCTCAAAACCAAATCATGGAAAGGTATTCCAGCAGGTAAAATTAATTCATTCATTTAAAAAAACAAATTTATTTCAGCATTTAAGAAAAGCAAGTTTTAAAAAAAAGCAACAAAATATTCATCGTTTTTGATTGAAAACTTTAAGCAAGATGGCTAGCAAAAATTTTAATATTATTTGTTATTCAGAGTTATTCATGTTATTTTAACAAATATTAGTTTACAGAGCAGTTGTGTGGAAAATTATTCTTGATTACATGCCACCAAACAGGGAATTAGCAGAAGAATAAATGAATAAAATGAGAAACGAGTACTAGTCCTACGTTTAAAGCTATTTTGAGAATGAGACAGTAAGACAAAACTTTTCTAAAACAGAACTTAATATGATTAAAGTTGTTGATACTGATGTCCCAAGAACTCAACCACTTTACGAAATCTACAAGGCACCTTCCATTCAGAATATGCTAAAAAGAATATTAGTTATTTGGGGATTGAGGTAAATCTTATTTAATTTCCTTTACAAAATACAATCAATAATAAATTAATAGTCCACATTCATCAGGTTTCTTTAATTTGCAATTTTATTAGTTAACATAATAACAAAATTAACCAATCTATTCATCACACATGCATACACATTAAAATTTGTTTACTAAACAGATAAATCCACTCAATCTATCAAAATACCAACCCTCTAATTTCCAAATATTGTTAGAAATTTTTCTTCTAACGCAAGCATACTATTTTTTTTTAAATTTGAGCTAATGCTTCATAGTATCTTCAAATATCGAAATTCATTTTATAATAATTTATTTCCTATTTTCATTAAACAAAATTTTATCAAGGAACACAAATTACAATTAAACATTTCCAATTTTATTTAAAAATACAAAAGTTAAATATTTAAAAAGCAAATATTTCAATCATTTATTTTTGTTAGTAATCTCCATTTACAAAAAATGTATTGATTATTTTGATGTTGATTTCAATAATTTTAACCATTGGATTAATCTATTTTATTTAAAATTTTAAATAATAATTGCTTCTTAAAATATAAATAATATTGTTTTAAAGAAAAATAATAAAAATAAAATTTATTTTATGAGCAACAATTATTAATTAACATTGATTGTTTAATAAAATTAAAAACAATATTTAATATACAATAGGCATCCAGCATGCGGATATGTGTAAGGAATTAATGAAATAGCAACTCCATTCATTTTAGTATTTTTAAACTAATACATATAACTTGACTCTAAGTAGAATTACCCCATTCCATCTGGACTTGAAAATATCAGCGAGTAAGTCTTGCAAGAAATAGAAGCAGACACTTATTGGTGCATGGCTAAAATTCTTGATAAAATCTAAGATAATTACACTAATGGTCAACCAGGTATTAAAAGAAGCTTGGATAAAATTGGATAAATAGTTCAAAAGATAGATCCAGCTCTTGCAAACCATTTTAAAAATGAAAGAGTTGAATATGTATAATTTTCTTTCAGGTGGATTTTGTGCTTGCTAATCAGAGAGTTTCCTATTCAGTAAGTTTTTAGAATATTTGATACTTATTTGGCTGACGATAAGGGTTTTGCAGTACTTCATGTTTATATGTGTGCTGCACTCATCCTAAAATACTCTAAAAAGATCTAAAAAATGAAATTTAATGACATCATTCTTTTCTTTTAAAACCTTCCGACTTAAAATTGGAGTGATGAGGACATTGAAATGCTGTTAGCTGAGGCTTTTGTATATATGAGTCTTTTTGAGTAATCTCAAGGACACATCAAGCCCACAGTGAACTTCAGTTGGCATTGAAAAGAGGTCTCATTTTTATAGATAAATTATTGTATACTAACTAGTAACCGTCAACTAACAATTAAATAAATAAATAAATTTTGAAGCAATTACCATAATCAAAACCTTTAATTAAACAACAGGTCAATTTAATAAATAAATAAACAATTTCAATCATTCAATCAAAAAAATCAAACAAACAAACAAATAAACAATAAAATCTACAACTTTCTGTATAAATAAATAGATAAAATATATTATAAAAATTATTACTAAGAAAATTATTAAATAAAATATAAAAGTGTATTAGAGAATATTTAATACTAAACTAAATCTTGAAAAAAATTAAAAAGCATCAATCACATTTATTCATACATATCTCTAGCCTATCAAAAAAATAAAATATCTTTATAGGCTAAAAAAAAACATGAAAAATTAACTAATTCTAATATTTAATTAAATTATTAATGATATTATGATCTTTTTTATTAAAATTTCATTTATTGTATTTCTTTATATTTTTTACTTATTTCCATATTAAAATACTTCAATTTTAATTATAAATTAAATTATTCTAATTATAATTACAATATTTATTATCACTATGATATTTTATATTTGAAATTTATTTTTGTATTTTATTAGGCTTTTTTTAAATAAATTTATTTTTCAAAAATTAGAAATAGTAATTTTAATTATTTAAAAAGCTATATTTCCATAATATTTTTAACCTAATTTTTATAATTAAGCACTTTATATTTTATTTATTAAATTATGGAGATATAAAAAAAGCATTCTATAAATTTAAAACCTAAGATTTTTTTGAGATGTTACTGTAAATCCTCATTACTTCTCACAAACCCCTTCCCCTATCTTTTTAAACATAAAATAGTATATTTATTTAATAAAAAAAGAAAATAGCAGTTAATTAGGTAGATCTTATTTAATAGTTTATATTATATTTGATAAACAATTTGAATAAAATAATATATTTTATTGTACAATAAATTGATTAAAAAATATTAAAATTGTCATTTATCAGTTTAAGATTAAGGTCTACTGTCAGGGGTATCTGTATATCCATTCAAATTCTTATTTAAATGTTTCAATTTTTTTTAATAAAATAGAGAGTTTTTTTTGAACTAGTTGTTTCTCCCAATTTCATAGATTGGTTAGCGAGAAATTTTTCTTCCTTAGTCACTAAAAGAATCTTATAAGTAAGTTTGAAACATTTTAATTATTTTTCTTTTGAAAGAGTTTTTAAAATATTTCCTATGTTCTACAAGAGAAATCAAATATTTGGTATGCCCTTTGATTATATTTTCAATATTTCCATGAGTGAAATAGTATTTGAACGCTTTAAGCTAATCAAAAGAACTTAAAGGAAATTCACATATGAAATATTCTGAAAGATTTATATCTTATTTTGATGTAATCAGTTATTAATTTTCACAGGGGCTTATTGGTTAAATTTACAAGCTTTAAAATTAGACAGGGGAACTCTGTTGATAAGGCTTTTATTAATCGGATTGAATTGCATTTTTATTTGGCTAATTTTTGTTTTATTTCTTCTTCATATCAGAAATTCTTCTTGGGGAGATGCATTCTTGTTAAGATTCACCTGAAATTTGTGGGAAATATATCATTTATTATTGTTGTCTGATTGAAGAAGGCCAGTATTTTTGCTCGTTCGAAGAGTCTAAGATAAATAATTAAAAATAATTTTAAAAGCTTTTAAAAACTAAAATTTATTAAATTTACTATTAGTTTAAATTTGCCCATCACAAAGAGTTGTAGTTTAAATAAAGCCTGCACGCACTGAATTTCTTGGAGGACTTTCAAGATAATTTAAGATATTTGAATTTCTCTTAGTTGGACTCTCAAGATTAAATATATTTGCTTAATTTTAAGGTTGTTATGTAATTGATAAGTTATGAAAAGCACCAACTTTAGACTTTTAGCTTAATTCATAAACATTTTTATTAACATTAACATTGAAGGTTTGCTCGCTTTATTACTTATTAAAGCTTTTATTGCTTTTACGAGAGATTTAGCTACTATACGTGCTATTGATATCTTGTTATTATGTGACTAGATGTTAATACTTAAATTGTGGAAGTTAAAAATGTTGCTCTTCAACTACTGAGTCAGGATTATGAATTTCACCTGTTTTATAGTCATTAATTAAAATATTTTGCTACTAATTTGTCTGTTAAACATCTTTATTTTATGGAGCAATAAGTTAAATATTTGAATTGTTTTGGCCTGCAATTTAATCACTAAATATTGGAAAACTTCTGTTAGTTCGCTGGGGTGATTTTAAATTTATTTCAGCTTACGAGCTCACTTTATTAATTTATTAAGGCTATATACTTTTAGAATCTATATCTACTAATGAAGAAGATTTATTATTAATTGGCTAATCTTATTATTGAGGTAATTAAGCTTATTAAAATATATTCGGTATATGCACAAGACTTTCTTGTTATTTAGTCTAAACATTTCCAAATGAAACTCCATTAGGATTATCTATAGATTAATTTTTAGTAAAATCTATATAATTATTATTTACTATCGATGGTTAGTTATTTGCCAAATCACTTTGCATTTAAGAATAGAACTCCTCTTCTTCTTCATCTAATATTTCATCTAGAACTACTAGCAATTCTCCATTAGATTATAATATCTCTGGGACTCTCTTTTAAAATTATAAAATTAATTAAATTGTAAATAGCGTTAATTGAATAAAGAAATATTTTTTTTAAATTGTATTTATTTCAATGATTAATAAGTTTTTTTATAATAATAATAAAAGCTTATTTTTAAATAAAGCTATTATAAATTATTATTTTAATTGATTGAAGTAACAATTTTTCATGAATTTTATGCTTTATTTTAATCATTTTTTTTAATTTAATTAAAAATTTATGAAAAAGTAGTTCAATAAATAATATTAAATTCTATGCAAATAAATTACACTAAAAAATAATTCGTCAGAAAGATTTTAGGATAGTATTGGCTAGTAGTAAGGAAAGAATTATTAAATAATTTTAATTCTAGTATCCTTAATATCTTATGATACCTTGAATTTAGATTTAACTGAATTCATTCTGTTTAGAGTCCTTTTATAAGCTTATCGTTTTACTTAAATCTCTGGTTTGTTTTATTTGATGATGGTTGAAAATTTATCTGGTATATGATGAACCATAGGACATTTATCAGTTGAATGGCCATATTGGTTGCAGCAATAGCACTTTAAATCTATAAATTTTTCTTGAAATATCATATTATCTTTGAGCATGCTATATTTCTCCTAATTCAAAAGAAATTATCAATTAAGTTTAATTGAAATTTTTATTTTACATATTCTTGTGGAAATATCTTTAAAGTATTAATAAAATCTTCATTTGTAAAGTAAACTAATTAACTTATTCCAGCGCTCTTCAATCCATATTACAAATTATACTCAAAGAATAAAGCTCTTTAGTCACTGAATTCTCCTTTGTTTTATTATAAACACTCATTTTAGAAACCATTTTTAGTTAAGTTATTAATATAAATAAAAATAATAAATTAAGCTATTCAAAAATTCGTTATTTATAAAAAATACAAATATAATTAATTAATAAAAATATAAATAATTATTAGACAGTAAAAATGCATTAATTCAATTTTTAGTAATTTTTTGCAGTAAATTTTAAAATCAATTATAAATTTACGATCAGCAAAATCAAAATTAATTAATGCGCTTAATGAATGCTAAAAATTCAATGATTTAGTATGTAGTTTACTTTAATTTTACCAATCAAGATGTGGTCTGATTAGTTATTTATCTTTTCTTAGTACGCAATAAGCTCTCCCTAAACTAAACATAGCACTTTGTTGAGAGGCTCGCCTTACTAAAAAACCACTTCATCTGGGGAGAGGTACAGTTCCTTTAACTTAAGAGAAAGTTGCTCAATAAATTATTCAGAGAAATTAAGAGTGAGGAGTTTGTATTTTTAGAGTATTTTTCCAAAATATTCTTTCTTCACTTAATTTCTAATGTTAAGAGACAACTGTTGTAAAACAACGTCTCCTTTTTATCCGTCTTACTATTGTCTTAACTAAAAGTGCTCTAACTCCTTAAGGACCTTTATTTAAATATTTTTAGGAATATTCCTGTTGCGCATATAGTGAGATACTTCATATTTCTATCTTCTAAAATAATTTTAGATAAATTGATTACATATTATTCTTTTCAAGTATGCTTGTAAAAAAATAGATGATTTTCATAAAAACTTGATTATCCTTTTACTAATAATTTTTCTATTTTAATCAGTTAATTAAAGAATTGCCTACATTATTATTGCTTGTAGGTATCATTAAAAGTATTTGAATTTGCTTTATACATTTTTAAATAATTTAAAAAAGAATAGAGATATTATATTTTGTTCAGTAAAAAAATATATAATTTTTCTGCTTTTTCAAGATCATTAGAACAAATTAAAATATGATTTCATTTTTCTTTTGTGAATAAATTCAGAATTTTTACTTTAGTTCTGACTTGCGGATCTGCATTTCTCTGAAAATAGAACCTATTGTATTTATAGCGTATCCAAATACTCCGCATGTAATAAGTGTCATAAATAATACATATATAATCTCAATTTCTGTTTAAGGAGTGATGTCTCCATAGCCAACTGTTATCATAGTTATAAATGAAAAATATAGTCCATTGAGGTATTTTACACTCCATTCATTTTGATCTATTTTTCTCATAATGAGCCAACTATAACGATTGTTATCAACTTCATATTGTCCTAAATAAATAAAGCCGCAACAGCAATAATGACCTATAGTAACTATAAGGAATAGGAGTTTAAGTAACTCAAAGCTACTTGGGAATCTATGCTCAAGCTAAAAATGATCATCAATTGAATTTATTAATTTTGGAATTTAATTAAACCTTATTAGAAAAATCAAAGAAATCCACTAGTTGTTTGATTAAAGCGAAATTATTAATGCTATAAAGGAACTAATATCTTGAAAAAACGAGGTTTTTAAATATCTTTTAATTATTTTCTTTTACTTTTTAACTTCGATGCCTTCACAATAATAGCTTGTAACACAGTTTAATAATATCCCAATAAAAAAAACTGGCAATGTGATTATACTCAGAATATAAATTGAATTCAACTAAAGGTTAAAGCAAACCTAAATAGGAATGATGCAAATTTAAATAAATACAGATGCAAGCATTATAACTTAAAATGCCATGTATGCATTTGATTGAGAGCTTATAATTATATTTTTTAAGTAGCTTTAATAAATAATTCCTGCTCCATTTATTCGAGCTAAGTTGTCTTTTTATATTTTATCAAGTTTTTTATCACATTTTTTAGAATTATTTAAATTAGAATTGATTTTCTGGCCCTCTTCATAATAAGACAAATCATTGATCAATTTAACTTGATGGGAGTTCAAATTTTTAAAGACACTGAAATAAAGCTATTTTTTTAGCTGGCTGATAAATTTTTTAATATAAATCAGAGTTGCTGGTCTAGTGATTATATGATCTTCTTACATTCCAATTTATCTTAATGAGGGAGTAAACATTTCTTCCTACTCTTGCTTAATCATCTGAGATATTCTACCAAGTACTGTTGTATTACCTCCTAATATAGCTTCTTTTGACTCCCTAATATCAAGAGAGTGTAATTGTAATTAATTTGCATATTTTTCATCTGAGTATGATTTTGAAGCCATAGATTTTATCATATTTCTTTCAGACTAAATTTTTTTAGAGCTCTTCCTTAGATTTGAGGTAATGAGATCGTTTGAATGTTCAGTTTTTTCATTTTCTTGATTGCTACGATTACCAATTTACTGGCGTGCAAATAGACCCTCTATGGACATATCTAAATTTATAGGAGGGAATTTTTTGGCATCTTCATAAGCAACAGGTATTGATGCTTCTAAAGTAAAAGATTGTTTTTTCATTCTTATCTTTTCTAAATCTTAGTCTATGGTATTCAGTAATTATCTCCTTTTATCTGCTCCATCAGTATTCAAAGAAATTTCATTTATTTTTGTAAATAGATCGTATTAATTTTTATTGTTTTAAATAGATTGCTAACCATCTATTTGAACATTATCATGATCTTCAACAATCAGCTTCCTCTAAGTTGAAGGATTTGCAAGAGTAGTATTTAATATCTCAATTTAATATTTTTCTTTATTTTCTTAAATTTAACTTTAGCTTCGGTTTTCTTCAAGTTAACCATTATGACATCCCTTAGTAAAACTAAGGCTCCTATTGCTGGCAATCTATTAATACTTTTTACTATTTATTGAAGCATCTTAGTTTTCTTCAACTGGTGTTTTAATTTTTTGAGTTATTGTATCTTGATCTTCGCCAATTAAATAGTTCAACGATTACATTAAATAAGATTTTTTCTAATTATTTATTGTGCTGGAGATATGAAATTGAAATTATTTTAGAAAGAATGTATATATATTACTGTATTTCTTGAATAAGCAAAAAGATTTATTTAATTTCTACTTGCTTATTAATTTCTTTATTCTTGAAATTACTTAAATCTTTAATTTTTCTAACTACTTAACAATTATCAAATTTTTGTAATCAACTCACTGATTATTCTAAAGGTAAAGAAACATTAATTAAATTGATATGTTTTTTATTCTCATGATCTCAAAAATTTTTAAATTGAGGCTAATATCGTATTTTAGCAAATCTACAATAAAATAATAATGTTATATAAATTATTAATTATATAAAAAATATACAAACAATATTCAAGTATGATTAACTGATGATAAAATAAGCTTTTCTTACAAAGTAATAATTTAAATTCTTTTGATATTATTTTTAAGCTTACTATTGTTTGTTTAACTTATTGATATTATTTTTTAATTGATTATGATACAATGTATTTATAAATTACATGTATAAAAATCGAACTTTTTACTTAACCTTTATTAATCATAAATTATCTAAAAAAACTTAATAAATAGTTTTTTAAATTTACCACAGCGGCTGAGTTTTTAAAGAATTTTTAAGATCCTAGTCAGACTCAAATAAACTTTTATGTGCTTCCAGAGTATGTATTATTTTAATAGCTTATAAATTAAAATCATATTTATAAGGCATTTAAAGACCAAGTAAATAAATGCAAAATATATTTTTATTTCAAATTGAAATTAACTAAATATTAAATGTAACAAACAACATGTGATTATTAAATGATTTAACTAAATTAATATGTATATTTTTTTGGCAAAACAAATTAATTAATTAGAAGATCAAAAGTAGTAATCTAAATTTTTAACTTTAAGAACATCAAATCACGTCAATTAATTGTGGTAAATATTTATGGAGTTAATAGTGATAAATCATCATTCAAAAAATAAAAATAAAATCTTATAAGTTAAATAAATATATTTAGAAACCCTATTCGCATTGATAAGTTAATAATATATATATAAACTTAGCTTGTATATTAAGCAATTTCGAACATCATAAAATCAAATAATCATCATTGGATTAACTCAATAAATTATTTATTTATTTATTTATTTATTTATTACTATAGATATTTAATTAATTTTTGTCAATTTACTTTGAAGGTCTAACACAGTAAACTAGAAACTTGAATCAAATCAAGGTAATTATAATAAATAGTTATGGAGTTAATTGCGATAAATCAATCATCTTTCTAAAAGTAATCAAATTAAATCTTAAGGATAAATATATATATTTGAAAGTCTATTTACATTGTTAATTGAAAATAAACTAATAACCTTAGATTGAATTCTAAACAAATTAAAATACTTAGGTATCTATCTATCAATCAATCAATAAAACAATAATACAATTAAATAAATAATCATAAGACTAACTCAATATATTATTTAGTACTATAGACATTTAATTAATTTTTATCAATTAATATATTAAGCTAAAGTATTAACATGCTTTCCAGTAAAATAAGCTCAAATTAGCAAACAAAAATGCTAAAAAGAAAAGTAATAAAAGATATTGTTTTATCTACAAACGATATCAATATAGAATCTTAAAATAATACAAAAAATAATATGCTTTCTGTTTAGTCTTCATAGTTAAATTTTTCTCAAAGAAATAACAAGTATGCTGTTATTGATGAAAGCAGTTTAAAAGTAGAAATCAAAAAACTAAAACCAAAAAACAGCAAATCACCTAAAAAAAATTAAAATAATTATTAAATGACTTAATATGGTGGATTTAAAAACTTTTCTCTACCTAGCTCTCCAGTAAAAAATTAATTTTAAAATGAAATTATCCATGAAAACTTGTCTCAAATAATCACACAAAGCATCCTTAAAACAATCAAAGTTAACAATTTTTAAAAAAACGATGATCTAAATGTAAAAATTAATATTTTTTAATAAGAAAAAATGTATTTAAACACTTTATTTTAATAGTAAATTATATACACTCTCAATAAATCTAGTAAAATTATTAAGGACATCATTTTTCTCAACGAAAAGATAAACAATTAACAAAACTTTTTTGAATATGTTTCTATTTAGGAAAAGAATATTTAATATTTTTATGATTCTATTGAGTATGAATTCATCCCAAAAGGTAAACCTCTATACGAGCTCGGTCATACTGCAGATTGCATGTTTCTTCTGCTTGAAGGAGAAGCCTATTACTTAATTAAGTCTTTTGGTAATTTGAACATAATGAATTTTATGAAATGTTAATTTAATGAGCACATTAAAAAATTTAATTTGCAAATTAAATATTAATTAAGATGATGTATTGTTAGTATTATTTAACTTTAGGCAATATGTGGAATTAACTAAAGGATGCTCTAATCTTAGGAAAGTATCTTGACTTAAACATTGCTAAAATAATAAGGAAATATGATTTTATAGGAGACTATGATTTGTTGAAGAAGTAAAGGAGATAAGGAACCTGTGTTGCAAAAACAGACTGTCATGTTGTTAGAATTTCAAAATCTGTTTTCGATAGCCTAACAAAAAAGCGTCTAGAGCAATACTACTATTTTATGAATAAACTTTTGATCAACTCGAAGGTATTTATTGAAATAAAAAAAAGTAGCTATTTAATGTCATATCTTGCTTTACCTTTAAAGAGTATTAAAAAGAGTAAATCATATATAATTAATGTTCTAATGACAACCAAGTGTACATTTTATTAAATGGATAAGTTTAAGTAAGTTAACATTTTTGTTTATCAAGAAACAAATTTGAATATTTAATAAAGCTTAAAAGCATAACAGAACATATGGAAGAAAGCTTTGAAAAAATATAGGAAGCAAAATTAATTGTCAATGAATAATAATATTTTGGAGAAGAGACAATCTTTAATTTATAGAAATAGCATACTGCTACATGCATTTCTTAGAAAGCCTTAGTAATTAAAATAGAAAAAACAGTAAAAATTAAATCACATTTTATTACTTTATTCTAAAAAATATCAATAAATCCTCAACTTTAATCATTATAAAAATTAATGCAATTTTTTTAAATTAAATATAAGCTTTGATTTTTTAATTATAAATCAAAGTAATAAAAAGTTAACATTTTTGGTATCTTTTCCAAAATAAATTATTTTTTTTCAAAGTGATAAAATTTTGCAAATTAAATTTAATAAATTTTACTTTTTATACAAAACTTATTTTTATTAAAAACAATAATTTTAGAAACTCTAAGATCTAATCACAGAAAATGTTCTTATATTTCATTAGAGGATGAAATACTTTTCAGCAATTAATAGAAGCTTCGCTCCATAAATTAATGAAGAAATAGATTAACATATAGATTTAAATGAGCCTAAGGAATATAACTCAAATTTTAATACAATTGATTTAGATTAAATGAAAAGACCTTCTTCATCTATAGACTAAAATATATTATCATCTGCTAGAAGTAATTATTCAAATAATAGATTTATGAGAAACCTAAGAAGTGTAAGTCAGTGCTAAGATAGAGATTAGCTAAACACTTGCAGAGGTGTTTAATTTGAGAATAATAGTAAAAACTCATAAAATAGTGTCTTTGAATATTCGTGGATGAAAGCAAAGCTATCTATGGAGTCTTTAAATACTAAAAAGATTAATGATGAATTAAAGCTGTCTAAAACAAAAAACCAACTTTCATAGATATCATAAAATAATTAAAAATTTGAAGGAAACAACAACTCAAGGAGATTCAGCTATTAACTTGAAGATCTGAATTAATTTGACGATAAAGAAATTAAAGAAAATTTTGAGCATTCTAGTTTATACAAAATGTATTAGATGAAAAAGAAGGAGCTGTTTTAGAGAGCAAATAACTTTACTATATAAGACAATTTAAATAATTTCCAAAATAAATTTGATTTTCAACAAAATAACTCTATTGAGATTTCTCTTAAACATAAAATCTAACAATTTTAAAGTTTGTTTGGTCATTCTCCTCAAAAAAATTAAATTCTGCTAAAATAAAAAAATAGCTACAAATAAAATTTTGAACAAAATCATAAAAAAAAATTTCTTTCTCTTTCTGTTGATGACACTCAAAACAATGATTGCAATTTATCTCTTTAGCCATTAAAATAAATCTAGCCTACTGAAGCTAATTAATTTATTCTAAATGCAAACACAATAAATTCGAATTCAAACTTTTAAAGTAATAATAATAATAATTATAATAATAATAATAATCTTTTGAGTAACAAAAGTAGATATATTTATTCAAAAAATCCAATTTATTGCACAATTTATAAAGAAAAATTGCTAAATACGAATAAAATTAGATACTTTAGAAATGTAAAACTTGATTTAAAAAATCAGCCATAATTATCATACTAAATATTAAATAAAATTTGCAAATGAAATGACTTGTAAGAATATATTTTTTATTTTATATTTAAATTAAAAATCTTTTCTAAAAACATAATACTTTCATAAATAAACAATTTTGCATTTAAATTAGTTTTTTAGGGGGGGGGGTCACAGCCGGGTGCGGTCTTCATTTTTTTTTTCCCTAATAAAAATTATACCAAAAATTTTTATCCCTTTAACAAGAAAATAGTTTTGAAAATATGCGGATTTAGATTGTATATATTTATTTGCAAATCTAAAATTTTAATATTCATAAATTATTTCTGATTTTATTATAAATAATAGTCCATTAAAAATTCAAAGATAATAGCATATACAATTTGATGAATAATGTAACAATATTTCATAAAATCTTAACTAAACGAATTTATACACTTTGAAAAATATAATTAAATGCGCATAAATAGAAAAGCGTTTTTTTATCTTGATTAAATTTCTTAATTAATTAACTCGAATCATATTTTTTAGTGGATACTAAATATAAAATATTTATATTTCTTTAGAAATTGGTGTTAATACATTGGTGTCAACAGTCTATAATAAACATTTTTAAATAAAGATAAAACACATAAAAAAATAATTTATAGTTAAAATATTAGAAAAAACAACGTTAATCTAAACATAAAATTCATTGGCTAGAATTATTATTACTCACAATACTATTAAATAATACATTTTTTTTAGATCCATTATCTAAATTGTATTTATTTAGGCGAAAAACTTCTTGTGGCAGCACGTTTGATTCTTCTAAGTCTGGAGCCTAGAAATTTTCATCTTTGAATAAAAATTTCTTATTTTATTAGCTGTTATCATTAATGGATAAAGGAGATAGTTCAGAGTTAACAAATCTACTTAAAACAAATTATCTTTATTATAAGTTCTAAGATTTTTTTATAATTTAAATTGGTAGATCTTCAAAGTTAGACTACTATTATTATGGCTACTATTATTATTATTAAGCAAATCTCTCTAGTTTTTTAGCGATGCTTCTATCTAAAAGTTAAAGTAATTTCATATCTATGTTTGAAATATTTTACTGATTCTTATAAATTTGTTAGTATGCTTTTAGCGTTTATTCAACCTTTTCATCTGCATCATAATTGAATGATCTGAGTAAATTAAATTCTGGACTTAGTTACATTGAACTCTAGTTTTACATTTCAGTTTCTTACTAATAATTATTATTGGGTGAAGAGTCTAATACTTATTAATTTAAATTTGACTGATTTTATTAAATTTTTGATTTTTACTTTAGTTATTTCAAATGAATGTCAATTATTTCTTATGACACTTTAGGCTTAGAAATAAATTCAAATAGCTTTAGCTGATTTTCATTTAAAAAGAGGTGTTTAAATTTTTCAAATTCCAAAATCTTATTGACAATAAAGTTAATATCTGTGTATTCTGTTATTTTTTGCTGGCTGAAATCTATAAAATTTGAAACCTTATTGCGCTTAAAACAGCTAAAGTAATGGTAAATAAAATCTTTGAATTATATGCTCAACTTATTAGTTTGGCTGATACCTTTTTTGATCTTTTAAAACAATTCATTCTTTAAAGTCTAGCCTTTATAAGATCTTTATGAAATATTGTCAGTTTACTCATTTTGTTTAGGACTACCATCTTTTTTGTTAAGTAAGGAGTTAGCCATTGGACTATCTCCATCTCTTCTTACCTTTGGACTCTCATTTTAGATAATAGAATTTTGAAGTTTTATTTTTTCATTTTTTTTAAGATTTTCCTTGTTATTCACTTGAGATTTTTCTTCCTTAATGTAATCATTAAATTACTCTCCTTGTTTAGTCATTTAATTACTTTCATCAATTTTCTTTTCTTTCATACTAAAAGTAAATGTTTAGTTGATGAGCTCTCTTTTAAGTTGTAGCGAAGTGTATGGCTTAGCTAGTATGCAGCCAACAAAAAACAATATGTTGTAAAAACCACCAATTTAAGAAATGACCGAGCTCAGCTTAGTATATGTTCTGTTAATATTTAACTCTTTGCTTTTTTCCAAATATATTATAAGCTTGAAAATGCCTTATGAAGCATCTGTTCCTGTAATAGCTGACTGTTAAGAGAATATCAATTAGCTTTACTACTAAATATCAGAACTTATCAATCCGATATCATCATTTACATGGGTATTCATGTATGTGAAAGATACTATTTACAAGGCATTTGTATTTACACTGTAGTAAGTACCACTTGCGTATGGTATAAAAGGATTTTAATAGTTTTCAGCTTAAACTATATAATCTGAATAATAAACATGCATTTATTTATTCTTTATTTTATTGGTTATTACTTAAGGGTCTGCACAGCCTTTGCCCTAGCAAGTAGAGATAGTAATTAAAATACCCGAATAAATATTTGTTTCAACTTAACCTTCTAAGAAGAGATTATCTATGTCTTAAATACAATAAAGCTATTCATAATTGTAAATAGCAGTGAATTGACTCTAGAGTGAAGGAATACCAAATAGTTCTTGAGTGCAAGGTCCAACTTTTATATCATTAAAGACTGATTAATATTTAGTATTTCCATTTTTGTCTTAAACAGGCACTTTTAACATGAATTAAGCACTTGCCTTATAAATTGTTTCATCCATAAAAGGATTTTAGTTAGCATCCAAAATACCAAAAGCAAAAATAAAATTATTTCTATTTAAATTAACTCTTGAAGGTATTTTTAGCTCATTTTACTGAATTACTTAAGGGTTTTCCTTTCTATAAATGACCAAACCAGCGCTTATAGCCATGTAAGCAAGTACAGCAAATACAATCAAAGAAACAAAACCGCCAATTTTTGTTGTAAATTTATCTTTTGAATGAAAACTTATTTGGATAGGAACTCCAAAAATGTCTAGCCCATTTAGCATAGAGTTCATGCCTGAGCTTGTTTTAGAAATCATTTTTTATATTTAGTAGAAGTTATTTAATAATTGTTTTTTATTTATTTTTTAATTATTTAAATTATTGAGTGATTAATCTAGCAGATTTAATAGCACAGTGAGTTATTTATTGTTTTTTATATGGTCAATTTAATAAGAAAACTGTCAATTATTTAATTTACTGATTTTAATTTCGTAAAATAACTTTTCTTCGCTTATATTTTTATGCTTTTATTTAATCTAAATTACTTGTTTTTTTGCTATTTAAATTTTATTTGTTTGATGATGAATATAATTAACGAAAAATTAAAATTCTGACTTAATAATTTTAATCATAATATCATTGATTTTTTGTAGAAAGAAATATATGAAATTCAAAAAAAACTGAATTAAAATTTATCAATAGAAGAAATTTAGTTTAGAGACTAACACTTGAGTTTGTTTTAAAAACAATCTTTCCTCTTAAAAATAATATTGATAATTTTAATATTTAAATTATTTGTACTATTGATTAGCATAAATTAGTAGAGCAAATATTGAGTTAGTGAGTTTATTTATTTTAAGATAATTAGTAAAATATGAATAAGTTGATGATTTTCGCCTAGCATTTTAAAGTAATAAAATATCTACTCCTAACCATTAACCTTTTTGCAATTCTTTGGTTTATTTGTTTTTTCTATTTTTGAGGTAATAATAGCTAAAAAGTAAAATACTGGTTTAATAATAATTTAATTATTAATTTTCTTTTTTACAGAAACTTTTGGATTTCAAACACTGAATGAATATACTAGGTAAGGTAACTAATATGTAAAAATATTATAAATTTTTGTTAACTAAATATGTTTAATAATAGATTTTTGTTGCTTTTTTATTTTTTGGCCTTTATTGAACTTCTAAATTTTTTAAATAATGCATATTTAACTGTTTAGGAATAGAGAGTAAGCCATAAGCATCAATTTTGAATAAGTCTGTTTAGTAAAAAAAAGTATAATTTGTAACATATAATTTTTTACAAAACAAGTAAATTTTATCTAAATGTAATATTTGTTAAGAGTTAATTAATTTATGAACTAATTTTTTTTATTTATTAATTTTTATTCATTTGAATTTGCAATTAGAAACCCATAAGCTAAAATTAGGCTTGAAGATTTTCTTTAAAAAATAGTACTATCTATTTATAATCATTTTAGTAAAATTAGTAATACATTATAAGGTCAAAAAAGTAGATAGACTATAATTAATCTAGCAATTTCTAAAATTTGTTAAAAGTAAAGGTTCTTTCCTTATGGCTCATTCTTTTTCAAATTAAGTTGGCATTTAAAAAATTGATGGTTTGTTTTACATATTAATTTAATTAGCTTTGAAAGTTGTCCTTTTCTAATTAATTTCAAATAAGCATTGAGTTGTATTAGCTATTAGAAAAATGTTTAGATAACAATAAAAAATATGAATAATTTACATTAAATAATCATCAAAAAAATTTAGAAATCGCTTTACTCTTAATAGGAATTTAAATTTTCATTATGAATTTTGACAACTTTAATCAAATTTAAAAATGCAAGTAATATTTTAATTATTTTTTATTCTAAAAATAAAATAATATATTGGTAAGCTATTCATAAATATTTAAAAAATACAACTATTGCAAGAGACTTGTTGATTTTTTAAATTTTAATAAATTCGTTGCATATTTTGTTATTTAACTTTTGTGTTATTTCTGAATAACACATGCGACTTTTTAAATAATATTAAAATTTCTGATGAAATTTATTCCTGTTTATTGTTTTAACTAACTATTGATAGTAAAAATTAATTCAGTGATATATAGATCTCATTCTACTCATCAATTATATATGAAGAAATTTAAAAAATAATTAGTTAACTATCTTCTAATTTTTGACCAGAAATTTAATCGATTAGGAGTAAACAAATATAATTAATTGAAAAATAAAAATTATATTTATTTAGATAACTCGAACATTAATTAATATACCCAAATTAATTTTAATATTTTTATTTAATTATTATAAATCAAGTAACCATCAATTAAGAGTATCGATTCTTACTTTAGAATTTATATAAAAAAATAATATTTTTACACAAAAAAATATAACCTGAGAATATTATAATCTTACTGATTAATTTAAATAGATATCAAAAGAAAGATTTTATGTTATTAAAATGAATAATTAATTTGTAGTAATATTCTATATAAAGTACTATTTTTAAATTACTTTATTAGTCATTATAATAAAAAATTATTTTAATAAAATTATAACTTATTATTAAAATGAAATATATTTATTCTACCTCTTTCATTTAAAAAAAATTATTGAATTAATTCTGTTTATTTACTTTAACTTATATTTGATATATAATTGTTATAAAAATATATTAATACATATCATAATCAATTAGTAAATTTAGAAATTATAATGGAATAAAAGCTAGTTAATTACAACAAAAATTTAATAACTTTTAAATAATTTAAGAATAAAAAAAATATAAAAAAGCAAAGTAAGTAAGTATTTAGCTAATAATATAATATTCAAAAATTTATTATTAATAAAAGCAATGATAATATAAAAACTGACTACTTAAAATTTTATTATTTAATATTAATTACTTTTTTAAACTAAGAAAAATGTGAAAATTATTGAGATATTTATCAAAATAGTTAATAAAATATCAATTTTTATATTAATTTTCGTTATACTTTCTTCAGAAAATTTAACAAAAACAAAAAAATTTGTATAAAACTTTTAATTTATTTATTTATTTCATCTTAATCTTTTTTTAAAAAATGCAGCTATCTTCTTACAGCTAATAATAACTAAAAACTGATTACCATAAAGTAGAAAAATGAATTTGTTTTTTATAATTTTCAAAGATAAATATTCTTATCTTTAATATATTTTTGGCTTATAATTGTAAAAATCATTAAATAAATCATTAGATACAGAATAGCTGTCATTACAGTTTTAATTTTTTTAATTCTTAAATTTGCAGAAAATTGGCTATTTCTTAAAAATTTTTACAAATTATTTAGATATTTCAAATAAAATTTCTAAAACTAGGTAAAAGTAAATAAATAAATATAATAGGTTGTAAGAAAATTCATGTCCTATTGAAAACAATTTGCTAATATGGCATTTCAAAAATATAAAATGTTTGGCATTTACAGATTTAAACCACCTCTATCTGAATTAAGTATTAAAGTTTTAATATATTTAAGTACAGTTTGAAAAATTAATTTCTTTCTATTTTTAACTTGAAATAAAATTAGAAAATTAAGTTATGAAATTAATTTTGTATGAGCTTTATTCTCTTATTTATCATTTAGATTTAAAAATATTAATAACAAAGTAATAAATTATTTTAAATTTGAATTAAAATTTAGTTAATTATTATGAGCAATAATCATTAAATCATACAAAGTAATAGAAATTTTATAATAGCTTTTAAAAAATATTTCACATCAAATGAAACCTAATATAAATTTTTATTTTTTTAAGCATATAAATAGAATATGGGACGCTTCTAAAAAGGAGAAAATCTAATAGCTCAGCCAAAAGCAGGTAAGAGAAAGATTATAATATGAAGATTTATTCTAGAGTAGATTTCTATTGATAGGTTTCATACATAGTCTCTGTATACATATGAAAAATAAATACTTAGATGCTTTGGAAGATATAGACTACAGAGAACATTAATCTGATGAAAAATATTTATGAAAATATCAATAGTCTGATATACAGAAATATAATGAGAAGAATAAGAAAATTTTTAAAGAGAAAGTATACTTTCTTATAGACAGTAACTATCTTTTGTTAACAGTTAATATAAGAATAGAAGCATTTAAATTCTGAAGAAGGTATTTAATACCTATTCCTTGATGGAATGAAAGATATTAGTTAGAGTGAATGTTTTTTAATAGAGAGTTTTAAAGATTTAATTATAATATAAAGATTATAATAGTAGGAGATTAAAGAATCAATATATCAATTCAGAGGATGCTAAGAAAATGTTTTTGGAAAGTTGAAGGAGTTACTTAAAAGAAACCAGATATATTATAATATGGAAAAGTTACAAAAAAACATAAAGGTATGGTATTAAAGTTGTAAAACATAATGATGTTTCTGAAATGGAAATGACTACTCACATAATACTTATGATTTTGAGAGAGTTTAAGCGATTAAAACTAATGAGAGAAAATTATGTAGAGATTTTAACAAAAATCTATAATAGACTGTATGTATAGTAAGTATTAGATAACTAAGAAAAGATGAAATACTCTTCACATGTATTCTATTTGTATGTAGCCTTGAAAAAGGCAGTAAGTACCCTAGTGTACTCTATATAATAGAATGTTTTACTGTTTATAAAAATGGATTATTAATCTTAAAATAATAGATGTGAAATAGATAATAATTAACAATTTGACTCAAAATATTTGGAAGAATTATGAGAGGTACTAAGGTTTCTTTGTGTCTAGCATTCACAGGGATTAGAATCGTCCTCTAGAAAGGATGTACTCTCTTAGTAGCGCAAAATACCCATTGTGTCCTTATAAGAATCCTACCACGATTGTATTTTCTGTTAAAGGTACTCTCATCGATTTTTGCGATTTATCCCTTCTCTCCTAATTAAAATATAAACTTATGTTTTAATTAAGTTTCAAAAGATATAGATAGAAAATTGTAATTTTATATAGGCTTAAATTATGGTATTTAAGATAGATATTTTTAAGGAGACTGATTTATTAATTAATTAATATATCTTTTTAGGATGGTACAAATTAAATAAGAATATTTAAAAAAAGTTAATCAAGAAGTTTTAATTAATCAAAATTATTAATTTCTGATAATAATTAATTAATTAACTAACTAATAATAAAAAAAATATTAATGGCTAATAAAGAAAAAAAAATGAATTAATAGAATAACTCTTTTAATAATCTAGAAGATGTAACCATCATTATTTATTTTATTTATTATTATAAAACCTTTTTTTTAAATAAAAAGTTAATAAAATCTAACTTGAAAGCTCTAACTCATATTGACTTACAGTTAAAGTAAGAAATATATATATTTATATATTTATTTATTAATTTTTAATCTTAAATTTTTAAAAGCAATATTAATTTATTTTAACAAAAATAAAAAAATATTTTAAAAGTTTTTCTCTTTTTTATAAATTTACAAAATAAATTAGAATAAATAAAATTTCATATCTTTCATTCATTCATAAATTAAATTTTTTTGTTATTATTTATAAAATAAATAGAAATTGTACTCTTAGTAAAGAATAAGTTGCTTAGCTTAACACTTCTTTAGTCTAATGTTAAAAATTAGAATCTTTACAATTAAATCTTAAGTAATAATTTAACTTAATTATCTTAAATATCATAATTGATTACTTTTTATTATCAATCTAATATTTAGTAAGGAAGATATTTCAGATGATTAGATAAAATAATTATTTGCTGAATTACCCTACTTAAAATATTTTGTTGAAACTGATAATAATATGAGGTAAATATATTTTTTATATTAATAAATCTTTAATTTAGCCAACAAATTGTTTAATAAATTATAATATTGTCTTTTTACTCTTGATATTTCTTCTATAAATAAAAA